GGTCGTGGAGTTGAGAGTAGAGGAGGAAAGTTAGAGTTGGGTGTCATCCGCATACATGTGGAAGTTAACTCCATGTCTGCGGATGATGTCACCAAGGGGGAGCATATAGAGGGTGAAGAGGAGGGGACCAAGGACAGAGCCCTGAGGGACACCACATGAGACAGTGCGGGGGGTGGAGGAGAAGCCATTCGTCGAGACAAAGTGAAGACGGTGAGAAAGGTACGACCTAAACCATTCAAGGACAGTGCCTTGAAGGTTGAGGTGGGAGGACAAGCGCTGGAGTAGGATAGCGTGGTCGACCATATCGAATGCTGCCGATAGGTCGAGGAGGACGAGGAGACAGAGGGAGCCCTGGTCACAGATGGTCAGGATATCATTGGTGACCTTGACCAGGGCAGTTTCTGTGCTATGGGCAGCACGGAAACCTGACTGAAGGGGTTCGAAAAGAGAGTGGGTGGAAAGGAAAGAGCGCAGTTGGGAGGCGACGACTCTTTCCAAGACCTTGGAGAGAAATAATAATAATAATAATAATCCTTGCATTTGATATAGCGCTTTTCACGTCAGGAGGACGTCCCAAAGCGCTTCACAGAACACACTGTAAAGTGAATTGACTGTATATTTGTGGGCGAACGCGGCAGCCAATTGCGCACAGCAATGTCCCACAAACAGTCGTAGATTGAAAATGACCAATTTAATTATTGTTTTTGGTTTTTTGGAGGGATTATTATTAGGCGTGTGGAGTAAGGAAACTTGCCCAAGGTTTCGCCCTGCCTGGAATTGAACTCAGGTCTCTCACCTGCAAAGCGAGTGCTCTAACCACTGAGCTACAGGACTCCAAAAGGGGAGGTTGGAGATGGGCCGGTAGCTTGATAGCTGCGACGCATCAAGGGAGGGTTTTTTCAGGGTGGGCGTGATGATGGCAGTTTTTAATGGAATGGGGACAGAGCCAGAGGAGAGGGACAGGTTGATGATGTCAGTGATATGTGGGGCAAGAAAGTGGAGCTGGGAGATAAGGAGTGGAGTGGGGATGGGGTCAAGGGAGCAGGTGGTTGGTTTTAGGGATAGGATGAGTTCAGTGACAGAGGGTGGGGAAACGGGTACGAAGGTGTGTAGGGGAGGATGGGTAGGAGTCGGAGTGTGGGAGGGAAGGGGTGGGTGGTGGGTGGAAGTTGGAGGGGAAGTGACCGCGGAGCGGATTCCCTTGATCTTGGATTCAAGGAAATCCAGCATCTCCTCGCAGTGAAGGTTGGAGGAGATGACCTGCGCGGGGTGGCGGGGGGGACGGAGGAGTCGGGTTGTGGTGGAAAACAGTAGCCTGGGGTTGTTCTTCGCCTCCAGGATTATCCTGGAGTAGAAGGACGACTTGGCCGAGGCTAGAGTGGAGCGGTAAATTTTGAGGAGGTCCAGCCAGATTTGTCGGTGGACCGTTAGGCCAGATTTGACACAGGTGCGTTCAGCAGCCCGCACCTGGCTTTTCAGTGAGCGGAGGTGGGTGGTGTACCAGGGGGAGGAGCGGGAGTAGGAGACAGTGCGGGAAGTGATGGGGGCAAGAGTATCGAGTGTGGAGGAGAGGGTATTGTGGAGGAGGGAGAGAGGAGAAGAGGGGTCGGTGAGGGTTGAAGGCCAGAGGGAGAGGAGTTCAGAGGACTCCAAGGCATCGGTTAGGGATTGTGGGGGTAACTTCTTCCAAGGGCGGTAGAAGATGGTGGTGGGTCTGGTGGAGGTGGGGAGGGGGGTGGAGGTGGTGAAGGAGATGAAGTGGTGGTCAGAGATGGCCTTGTCGGTAATAGTGACATCCGAGACACTGAGGCCCCGGGTGATCACCAAATCGAGTGGGTGGCCGTGACTGTGAGTGGGGGAGTTTATGTGTAAGGAGAGGTTGAGTGAGGAGAGCAGGGAAGAGAAGTCTGTGGAGATGGAGCAGGAGGGGGTGAAGTGTAGGTTAAAGTCGCCCAGGATGATGAGGCGATCAGAGCAGAGGCAAAGAGATGTGAGGAGTGTTGAAATGTCAGAGATGAAGGTGGGAGAGGTTTTAGGGGGCCGGTAGAGGAGGAGGATTTTAAGGGAGAGGAATGAGGGGTGGGAGAGGGTGAGGTGCTCAAAGGAGGGGAAAGAGCCAGTGGAGTAGGGGGATAGGGCAAGTGGTGTCCTTGAGATAAGGGCAACACCACCGCCACGGCGGTTGGGGCGGGGGATGTGGTGGGAGGTGTAGCCGGGTGGCGTGGCCTCCGTGAGGGGGAAGGTGTCGCCTGGGGTGAGCCAGGTTTCTGTTAAGGCCATGATATCAACGTTCTCATCAAGGATGAGATCGTTGATGACCAGGGCCTTGTTGCAGAGGGAGCGGACATTTTGCAGTCCGATGTGGAGGGAGCGGTTGACAGAAGGGTGTGTGGGAGGGGAGGGGGTCCAGGTTGTGAGGCAGGGGTGGGGGGAATGGGGATGAGGGAGGAGAGGTTGACTCCCCGGGTCTGTGTCCGGGGTGGGTGGCGAGTGTGGTGGGGAATGGGGCAGTCGGTGTGGCTGCTGCTGGACAGCCAACGCCGAGTGCCGCGGTGAGCCCGGCGGAGGATTCCCAGACTGGAGCAGAGGGAGGTTGTGGGAGGGTCAAGTGGGGATAGAAGACGAGAGGGACGGAGAGAGAGGAGGAGAGAGCGGGAGAGATGCAGAGGGGGGAGGGTTTGGGGGAGAGAGGAGGGGGGCGGGAGGGAGGGGGTGAGGGGGCTCGGGTCAAAGCGGCAGCCATAGTGCGCACGCGGGGACCGGGAGCGAGCGGTCAGGTGGATGGCATTATCCCGTAGATTGGGGCAGCGAACCCAACAGGACCATAGTGGGCTCTGATGTGAGCCCTGGGGGGGGGGGGGGGCGCAGAGGTTTTTTTTTTTTTTTTTTTTTTGTGCGCGCGCACTCACCTGAAAACTAATCTATGACGTCGCAGTTCCCCCGCTCCGCCCCCACACCTCCCTCCCCTCCCCCTGGCTGAACTCGTTCCGGCGTCGAGTTTAAGTACCTGGGTCAGTAGGCCCAGGCTCCTCCCCGCGCTGTCCTGCCCCCGCTCCCCGACTGGCTGAACTCGCTCCGGCGTCCCAAAACGCTTCACAGAACACACTGTAACGTGAATTGACTGTATATTTGTGGGCGAACGCGGCAGCCAATTGCGCACAGCAATGTCCCACAAGCAGTTGTAGATTAAAATGTGGAGTCCTGTAGCTCAGTGGTTAGAGCACTCGCTTTGCAAGTGAGAGACCTGAGTTCAATTCCAGGCAGGGCGAAACCTTGGGCAAGTTTCCTTACTCCACACGCCTAATAATAATCCCTTCAAAACAAAAAAACAATAATAAATTGGTCATTTTCAATCTACGACTGTTTGTGGGACATTGCTGTGCGCAATTGGCTGCCGCGTTCGCCCACAAATATACAGTCAATTCACTTTACAGTCTATTCTGTGAAGCGCTTTGGGACGTCCTCCCGACGTGAAAAGCGCTATATCAAATGCAAGGATTATTATTATTATTAAAAATGACCAATTTTGTTATTGTTTTTGGTTTTGGAGGGAATATTATTAGGCTCTGTGTGGAGTAAGGAAACTTGCCCAAGGTTTCGCCCTCTGCCTGGAATTGAACTCAGGTCTCTCACTTGCAAAGCGAGTGCCCTAACCACTGAGCTACAGGACTCCACTGAGTTCTATCATTCCACCACAATCAATCGTGATAGTTCAATATGTAAAATGGCATTGTGCATTTTTCAGAGGTCACCTACATCTTAAGGCAGTTGATTATAGCCAAAGGGGAAAATTTTCAGGTGGAACTTGAAAAAGGGGAGGGAGTAGGCAAGGCGGATGGATTGAGGGAGAACATTCCAGAGTTTGGGGGCATAGTAGCTGGAAGCGCGACCTCTGATAGTGGGGCGGAGGGTGCGAGGGAGAAGCAGGAGGCCGGTGCCAGTCGAGTGGAGGCACCGGGTGGTGGATTGGGAGTGAGGAGGTCAGAGAGGTAGGGAGATGCCAGAGGGTGAAGGGATTTTTCAGAATGTGGGGCTGTTCAAAGTTGCTCTTACATCCTCCTCCTCGTTTCCAATCCACTGTTGACATGAATAGCTGCATTTAGGATCCTTTATAAGGGTTTTAATCTGAATGTTGTATTGTTCCTGCTGCTTTTAGGTCCCCTGTACTTCCTGCCCCATCATTGGCGGTCGGCCATTCAGCATCTATGCCCCCACACTCTGGAACTCTATCCCGCAATCCCTCCACCTCAACCCCTTGCTTGCTTCTTTCAAATCCCATCTAAAGACCTTCCTCTTCGACCGTGCCTTCAGCCACCTTCCCGCCTGCACCTGCCTGCCCGCCCCCCCACCCATCCTGACCCAAACTCCCAACTCAGGTACAAAAAACCCTGACTGTTCAGCACCCCGGGACGTCTTTCCGACATGAAGGGGCGCTATCCGAGGATGGAGATAGAAGGAGTCAAATTGTGATTGATTGACAGCAGACTTTAGCCATTCACAAGCGGATTCGAACTGCTTGTTTGGGTGGGGGGGGGAACGGGAAGAAACCAAAGGAGGGAATGGGAGGAGTCAAATCCCGATTGAAGAGCTCTGAGACGCCGCCCGGCATGGAGGGTGCTATATCAATCCAAGTTGTTGCTGTTGTTGTTGTAGCCTTGAGCCGTTTGTGAATAATTGGAAGGCCCGTCCATTGACAAGTGGCTGAGGGCTGTCAATCACCTTGGAGCCGGTGCTAATTGGTCCCCTTCCTGTCCAGTGGGAATGGTAATGGGAGGGAGGAGCCTTGGCCACTGCTCCTCTGCTGGGCTGGAAGAGGTAAGGCTAATGCTGTTAGCCTCGGACGCCATTTAAGCTGGATATACCCAATAATAATCATAATCCTTGCATTTGATGTTGTGTCCGGCTTAAGCGGCTTTCACTGTATTATTTGTTATGATGATGAGGCACTGTGGACTTCCCTTAGCCATAAATCAAACAGAAAAAAGCCTAAGACAACGGGATAGATTCATCATTAAATAATTTATTTGATTGCATTCAAGTATTAAGCGGATATATGGCACCACTGCATTTAAAGTAGACGCGGAACAAAGATTACAAAAATAAAGCAGATATAATTTCATATGTCAGAATTTTAAAAATGCTATAAATATGTCGATGTAGCAAAACTATATTTCTCGTTGTTAAACCACAGCAGTTAGAAGTTGATGCAAAAAAAATTTAATCAAGTGCCTCATTAAAGTGCCTCTCTCTATGTAAATTAACGTTGCAGAGATTTCAAAGCCGTATGCGTGCAATGTCATAACATGTTCGACACAAAATAACAGCAAGTCCTGCAGTGTTAATTTAAAAGAGTATTCATTGCGTTGTTCATTACTGAAGAAGATTAATTGACCTTAACTCTGCACTTATGCAAATGTGAAGATTAAAGGTTCCCTAATAGCTCCTTTAACATTTTGTCACATCAGGACTTGAAGTAAATGTGCACAAACAGTCTAAATAAATTAAACACGACTCAAAGTAAATCAATGCAAATATATCACACATACATGTCTCTTGAGAATTTTTTCTTAAATGCATTTGTTTCTAAAGTTACTACAATAAGTTACATTCATTGAGGAGTCCATAAATATCTTTGAGCAAAAATATAAGTTTCATTTTCTAATATGAAGATCATTTTAAATTTTAAAATATTTCAAAAATGTCAAGCTTTAGCTTTCCTGGTTATGCTTAGCGTAATAACATGCGGGAAGATATCCTACTCTGGGTCCTTTTGTGCAGTGCTTCAGACGATCTACAAGTTTTTCAAATTCTTAAATACAGCTTTAACTCTGAAGTTGGTTTTCTGTAAGATCTTTTAAGAATCGCAGCAAAGCGACTTCAGAGTTGAGACCGATTCCAACAATTTGTCAAATTCTGGACACGATTAAATAGAGTAAACAGAGATCCAACTGGAATGCTTCCCAATGATGATTCGTTACATTTTGTCCCCCCCCCATCCCCTTCATTTTCCCAACCTAAGTGCTGATGCGTTTTTCCCAGTTGCGCTTTACAAATGTAATCCGTTGTCGTTTGTTGCTGCTGTCGGAGTATTCAGAACAATTTCCTCCAGTTCATATGTGGAAAGTAGACACCGATAGGAGTTTGCATGATATTATAGGAACCCTGGATCTTGCTTCGCGTGCAAAGTGTTATCTGTAAGGAAAGAAGAGACTTTAACTGAATTGTTCTGTCAATCTATTAACGCATCTCTCAGTTACTGGGTGGAAATTCTACCAGTATTTGCATTTACCCTATTGACTGAAAGCAAAGCACAGTTGTTGAGATAGGTCTTAAAGACAGGTAGGAAGGGAGCAAGGCAGAGGGAGTTCCAGAGAGCAGGGATATAATGGCTGAAAGCTCGCCCATAAAAGATGGGGCAGGAGACATAAAGCAGGCTGATATTTGCTGAGGGGAGGGAGAGACTGGGTCACAAGAAGATGTTGAGGTAGGTAGGGTGGCGCAAACAGGAACCAGCCGGAAAAAGGGTTTGAAAACCATCTGTTTTAGATTCCAGGATGCTCTTTCGGGTTAAGCGATGGATAAAATGGGGAATGGTGCACACAGTAGGCTTGAGCTGTAATGCTATGGCAGATGACTGGATTCAGTGTTTGAGAAAATGAGCTGATAGCACAAGTCTTAGAATGGTTCGCAATTGATAGTTACTTATATATAATCTTGTCTTGAGAGAAAAAAGTTTATTGGGCTTTCCTTGGGTGCACTTACCACATAGCCCAAGAGGAAGAGCAGGAACACGGCAAACACACAGGCCAGTGCAATAACTATGATGGCCCAATATGGTAAACGTGAGCTGGAATTAAGGTCTGGTGTTTGAGATTCTGTAGTAAAAAGCAACACAAGACATTTATAAATGATAAAGTTCAACATAATGAATATTAAATCCAATTGTATTTGTGATTCACAATTATATATTCCTACAACGCATTGTTTATAGTTTTGGAACCAAGTCGATTTTGCTTCCCGCAGTGGCGCACTCTCGAGCGGTAAACCTGATATGTATTTCCGATCTTCATCATCGCTGCCTGGCAACTGTTAAAAAACGGATATCCGGCAGATGGGGCCACCGTTTAATGTCTCATCCGAAGGATAGCACCTCCCAAGAATGCAGCACTCCCCCCCCCCCCCCCCCAGAGCTGCACTATCCCCAGGACTATAAAATAATATAGCACTAATACAGGCCAACTAAATTGTACCACTATTTATACTCCACACAAGCCTCCACCAACTCCCAATCCGTCTTCTACACCCCTCTCTCAATTCCTTTCTCCCTATTTACTCGAATTTTGAAGTATAAAGTCACTGAACAAAAGTACTAATTGATTTACCCTGCAGATTGAACAATTTCATTTATACCCCACAAATATTCATTTTAACATCACTGAAAAATAATTTGCAGGTTTTGTTACATTCCGAGCGAGAATTTCCTTGAAAAGATGTGGAAATGAAATCAAATGCATTGCTGCCACCACGTACCTACTGACAGGCTGTCATTTTTCAGCTGAAATCCATCAAGCCAGGTCGTACTGTTTGTTCCAGCAACAAATTCGTTTTGGATTGCGACTGTACTCACGGTTTCATTTGGTTTGAAGTAGCAATTGCAGGTAACTTTGATGGATCCGAGTCTTCAGGGATAAGGAGAAAAGGTCAGAATTAATTATCTGGTATAGGTAAATTGGAGACACAGATTGTATAATTTTATTTAAAAAAGTAGAATTAATCAAATAATAATCCACGATACAGCACGTAGGAATTCCTTCCTTAATTAAGCAACTGGGGTAAATTTGAAATTTGCCAATAAAAACATTTTTGAACATCACCGCTTTAGAAACTCTTGCCCTTACCTCAAACCTGTTACTTTGCAGATTTTGTAGTTGTCCTTCAAGGTGCTTTTCTTAAACAACTTTGTGAGCTGCCAGAAAAGAAAAGCAATCACAGTGATTTTTGGTTGGAGAATAGAAATCTTGTCGCATTTAATCGAGGCGAAAGAAAGTCGCTTAACCGAGTAGGAGGAAAAATATTACGATGAAACCCACGCCTCTATAGCCCCAGTCATTTGAAAGTGGATTCAAATCGGAAACCAGCATTGTGTGTTTATTAAATTTCCATTTGATGGAGTGCCTTTCACGTCTGGAGAGCATGAAAGGATTTACTTGTGAAGTGTAATGATTGTAGATTGTATAGAGTCATAGAATTATATAGCACAGAAAGAAGTCATTCAGCCCCTTGTGTCTGTGCCAGCTCTCTAAAAAGAGCTATCCAATTCAATCCCACTCCCCCGCTCTCTCCCCATAGCCCTGCACACCTGTCCTCCTCAAATAATTATCCAATTCATTGTAGATAAATATAATAATAATAATCCTTGAATTTGATCCTTGTACCTTATCGCATCTTTGAGATGTCTGAAAGCTCTTCACAGAATGTACTGTAAAGTGAATTGACTATATTTTGTGGGCCAAATGCGGCAGCCAATTACCACAGTCGTGGATTGAGTGACCAATTATATATATTTTTTGAAGGAAATATTATCCCCAGAAAAGCGATCCATCAATCGACTAACAACCAGGTTCCTACTTACTGCTAGGTGAACAGGGGTATGTGGAGTGAGGAAACTTGCCCAACATTTCACCCTTCCTGGGAATCGAACCCAGATCTCTCGCTTGCGAGGTGAGTTCTCTAACCACTGAGCTACACGACTCCGAATTAACATGGCATGTAATTAAGTTTAATGAAATGTTGTGGGGCTTCGGTTTAAATTGGTCAACTTTAAAAAACCTCACCGTAATAGAGATTTGGTTCACAAACTGCTGATATGCAGCAGAGTTTGTATCTTGAAGCTCTGGGTCAAAATTTCGGTTTATTATTGTGAATTCAAGTTTATATCTTGAGTCGCCAAACTCTACTGTCGCTGTAGGTGAGACGAGACCCACAGTTGTAACTGTTGTTGTCACTTCTTCATAGCCTAAATCAAGGACAAAAGTAAAATTAATATAGTAATGAATCGATTGTCACCATTTAAAAATTGTACTTGGTTGGGCATTATTGCTTGCAGTTGATGTTGCATCTTTTATGTTGGGAGGTCACCTTTAAGTGCTTCACTTTACTGTAAAGTGTAGTGATTGTATATATTTAGGCGAATATGACAGCCAATTTGCACACAAGGATTGGAGTGTCAGCTGAGACCATGTGGATTCAAAGCCCTGGCTTGAATCCACATGCTTGACCTGCAACCTTCCAAATCACAGGCAAAAGGCTACCAATTGAGCCAAGCTCCAAACAATTGACAAATAAATCAGTTGTAAATCAGACTGCTTGGCCCTAAGTTTGTTATCGATGTATCTGTTTATAAACGCTGAAAGAAAACTCCCTCTCTGAGCCTTGTCACAAGGTTTTGGCCTAACTGAGTATAGATTGCTTTCAACTTGGATAAGTTTGTTTCATTTAGGCACTTGTAGACCTGTGGTTAGCTACTTCAAATTGAAGAATGAATTTACCTTCTACGGAAAGGGCGCTCAGTTGATATGGCCCCAGCTTATTCAGGTTTAAGTTGCTTTTGAACTCGCGGAATACAGCAACTTTGTCTATTTCTTGATCAGTCGAAACATTCTTGAAAGAACAGACGGATTCAATTGTAGTCCTCTCTGAATCCACGGAGCTGTCAAATTAAACAAGGAAACGCCAAGAATTAATTAAAGAGAGTCCGAGAAGCAAGAATTGCTATGGTTTCCGAGGCATTATTCACAACTTCATTTTGACAGTTACCCAAACAAGACTTCAAGTCCTAGAACCTATGTGGGTACAGCCATGAAGTGAATGTCCAACTGTATCTGGAGGAATGATGGCCAAGATTACAAAGTACTGTCCCTGTACTATAATCACACAAGGTAACATCTTGATGCACTTCACAATGGCAGAGTTAGGGGCTAAGCTACAGAGAAGAAGCCTGGCAAGGTGTCCGTAGGAGTGGTCAAAGAGATAAGTTTGAAGGTGGGGTTTGAAGATAGATAGTATAAGTATATTTTATAATAAACTCACAAAGCCAAGGTTGATAAATATAATGGCCCATGAAAGGTCAGCCTTACATTTTCAGTAGCAGTACTGAGAAGACTGAAAAAATAACAGTTTTATTATTTTAATATTTGCAAAGATAAGAGTGTCCTTGAAAGGTATTTCTTACCTGAGAGAAGTAACATTGCAATTTATGAAGGTTTCATTGAATTTGCTGTTTTCATAGAGATTGTTGAGCTGCAGGATATTAAAAAAAGTGTTTTATAATGGCAAATAACACAGACATAATAACATCTCATTGTTTCTCAAATAACTGTGCTGTGTCAGCTTACCTTATCATTAATAAGAGTCGTGTTGATATTGTTTGTGTTAATTGTATCTCTGGCAGGTAGCGGGTTGAATATAGTGAATCGCATCTTGAAAGTAAGTGGGCTTCTTTCTGGGGCTGTTTGGAAATATCAGTAAAATATCTTAAACTGAGAACGCAGAACATGGAAGAAAAGTACTACAGAGTTCACAAGGTCGCAAGACTGGTCTGGATAAAGGCCCATTTGATCTCATCCTTCCAGAACACCCCTCCTCCCATCACAGCATCAAGTTGTTTCAGGCTATTTCACTAAATTATTTTGCTTCACATTTAGAAAAATATTTTTTCATGTTCTGTTCCAGTAACTGAGCAATAATGAGCACTTTTTTAAACATTCAAATCTTTAGGTAAAAAATGTGTTCTAAAACTTACCAACATTCAGGTCGTTCCTTTTCAGTTGGAATTTTCCAAGCTGTTTAATGCCATTTGTTCCCTTAGAAAATGATGTTCTAACTGTGCCTGAGTTCACGGGTGTGTTTATCTTCTTTTCCGTGAAGAAGCATTTGCTCGCGACTTTGACTGATCCACGACTGCTCAAAGAAAGGATTCCAAAATCGAAAAACAAAAGAAAATTTGAGTTGATATTCATTAATAACTTAATGTTAGGTAAAGGCAAGTCCTCAATATATATTTGCAATTAACTCTGCTAATCCACAACTCTCCGTGACAATCTTGGTAGTCCCATTCCTGAGCCAGTGAGGTCCACAGTAATCCAAGGCTCTGCTGATGAAAAAAACGGCCAGCGTGGCTCGTCAGCAAGAATTTAAGGGACAAATTAGGGGCAGTGATTTTTCCTACTCAGCTCTTGTTAGCCCCACAATTCAAAGCCCGAATGGGAAGGTGGTCCAAGATGGACAGCAGCGGAAAGCTTGGCAAGATATATGATTTTATTGCAGTACTCCCCAAGCCTTGACTCTTGCCAACCAGCAATTAATACTTTCTGGAATTAGGTAAGCAGAGGGCATCCCTCCAGACGTAAAGTATGCATTGTGTTACAGACACAGGGAAATTGTTCTGGCGCTGTATCATTCCATGTAATTCCTTGTGAAATGGTTTGTATGTTTGTCCTATTGATTATTGCAAGCTTAACATCAATTCAGCTTTCCAGCCTATGTATCCTGTAATGTTAAACCACTATAGCGACACTATTCCATTACATCTTTTGATATACATTCTCTCAATAATGTGCTTTTCAGTCACATACCATAAAGCATGCCTCCACCCCCACCCCTGAAAAATAACATTACCTTAATCCAGTAATCTCACAGTATTTGAAGTTGTCCTTTAGTGCGCTCTGTTTAAATAACTCTGCAAGCTGCAAAATAATAGAGTAGTAAATATCAATCTCTTCTTATTTTAACATGAATTATCTTTTGGGACTTATGCCCAGATTATATAATGCAATTGCTTTTTATAGAATCAAAGCAGCTGAAAAAAAAATGTCCTTACCGAGGTAATGATATCGGTTTCTAGGCTTTTATAGTCACGTGAATCTTTGTTTGCAAGTTCTTCTGTGAACTGCCTGCTTGATATTGTAAAGTCGAGATCAAATGATTCAAGGGGAACAGAGGCTGTAACTGGCGGCTGTGTGGTTGGTTTGAATTGCTGGTAGCCTAAAATAAAAATATACATTGTACTTAACTCAGTTCCCCGCAAATAGATTTTGACAATAATTTCGCCCACAAAATACAGTCAATTCACATTACAGTATATTCTGTGAAACGTTTTGAGGCATCTCGAAGACATGTTAAGATGCTATATCAAATGCAAGGATTATTATTATTAGATGTGATGGGGTGCTAATTCTTTTTTATGCCTTTGAGGAAGCACTAAATTTTTCCAACATCTTGCTTAGTTTAAAAGCAACAGAGCAACATATTTTGTAAATATGGTAAATGTTGAAATACAAAAATATATACTTTTTGAAACCAGAGAATAATGAACTTGAACGCATAGTTACCATTCACATAGAGGCTGTTGCTGTCCAGTTTGTACATTCCTAAGGTTGAAATCTGCTCCGTGTTTTGCTTGAACTTCTCATAAACTGTGTCTCTTGTGACTTGCTGAGCAATGGGTTTTTTGTCGAAAATGCAGACCCCATTTACTGAAGTGTTGTCAACATTTGCTCGACTGTCAAAAAGGAAAAAGTTTACTTAATCACAGGAAAGACAAGAGGAAGGGAGGGGAATGTGGGTTGGATGCCAGAACACTGCGACTCATTTCAATTTTGGACCCAAAGGCTCTTACCTGAGAGATCTTATTGTACAATGTGAGAACTCCGGGCTGGTGTGGTATATATTATCAAGCTGCAGGCATTAAAAAAAAACATATTTTAGAAGAAGTGATGTTTTACAAAATGAGGGATCGCTTAACAATAATAGTGCTCGTCTAAGCTTACCCGGTTAGTAATAATGGCTAAGGCAGATTTGTGGAGTTGAGAATTTGGGTTTTGGAGGTATCGTGTGAAGGGCAGGTTGATGATGATGAAGCTCACATTGAAAATAGGCAATTCCGGCTCGGGAGTTGGTGTTACAATCGGATCTCCGCCTGCAAAGAAACTCCGTTAAAGCATTAAACTAAAAAGACATTGCAAGCCTACTTTCTTTCAATTGGCTTTGTTTTAAGTCAGGGGGATTTGTCCAAAGAGTAGCCAGAAACTAAAGCATTCCATTGATTTGTTGATCTTACATGAAAATCGTCATCTCTGCTGGCTAATGGGTGCGATCGATTCTGGTGACCTTCGAAATTCAGGTCTTTTATATCACACTGTTTTACTGTGTTATTTGTCTTGCCTCATTCAAGACACATCTCAAGACCCTCCTTTTCGACCGTGCTTTCGATCACCCTGCTTCACCCCTGCCCTCCATCCTCCCCAATCCCGACCCCCAGCTCGGGTTTGAAACACTGATTGTCCAGCCGCTTGGGACATGGAGGGCTCTATACAAATGTAATTTTATTCTTCTTGTTATTTTAAGCCTGATAAATGGGCCAGACTATCCCAAACAGCTCAGTGGGGAAATGTTGCTGAATGACTCAGAGTAGGTAAAACCCTCTTTAAATAGTATTTTCTAATGTAAAATGTCATGATTTACAATGGAGTGTAAACTCCATAATAACTAATGATAATAAGTATTGTTTGACATTGCGCCTTATGACATTGTGACGTCTCTAAACGCTACATTGGATTTACAGTAAAGTTTAGTGACTTGTGCATTTAAACACTCCAGGATGCTACCCCGTGTGAACGGCCCTATATAAATGTCGTTGCTGTTGTGTAGGTGAACAAAGCAGCCAATTTACACACAGCATTATGCCACTAACAGTCATGAAGTCAATGACTAATTTTATCCAGGACACCAGGAGAAACCTTCCTATTTTGAGAGCATTAAGATATTCTTTCGAATGCACGGTGCCACATATTATAAGTATAAAGATTGCTATGCAAATACAAAGCATGTTTTAAATATCAAAGAAAACGGACAATTTTAGACTTACCGGATGAAGTGGTTTCGTGATAATCTAAAGGAATAAAAAAGATATTTTTGGTTGATTTATTCAGTTTACTATTTCCCTTGAAATATAATCCAATTTGTAAACTTTCACTGAAGTGAAAATGTGCATTTACCGTTTACATAGAGGCTATTGCTGTCCAGTGAGTATGTTCCCAAGATTGAGATCTGCGTTGTGTTTTCCTTGAACATCTTGTAAACCATAACTTTTGTCAGGTTTGCAACAGCAGGGTTTTTGTCGAACACACAGATTGCTTCCACTGAAGTGTTGTCAACATTTGCACGACTGTCAAATAGAGAGAATAATGAGACTCTCGAATAAAATTTGCAGCCCTCACCGCTCCCCCAGAATGGATCCATTTTGTGAAAGAAGTAAGATTTGCAGATGGTAGAAAAATAGAGCTATTCAGTGATAGATCTTTATAATTCCAATTACAGAACTGTCTCTCCCACTCCATTCCCACCATTAAAATCTACCAGAAGTTGGAATTATTGAAGAAGCAGTTTGATGCTGTGATGGGAGGACATTAGGGTGTGGCATCTGGAAGGACAAGGTCAAATTGGCTTCATCCAAACTTCTCTTGTGATCCTTGCAAGATCCGTATCTTGTATACTTGTAAACACAAGTCTCAGCTATGCGGTGGATGCACATAAGATGTTTTCACAGCTGCCTAACTCTGGCAAACTTCTCTGAAGCTAGTTCATGCCTTGAAAATATCAGTGGACAATGCAGATCCTGAACTATGTGGCAATGACTTACTTGAGAGATCTTATTGTACATCCTGTGAACTTCGGGCTGCCCTTGAATACATGCTTAAGCTGCGGGGATTAAAAACAAACCTATTTTAGAACAAATGATTCGACATAAAAGGCTGAAATATTTTTTTAACCAAGCAGGGTGCTGGTTTAAGCTTACCCTATTGGTAATAATGGCTGAGGCAGATCTGAAGAGCTGAGAATTGCTGTTTTGGAGGTATAGTGTGAAGGGCAGGTTGGTGATGATGAAGGTTAGATTGAACGTAGATGTTGGCAGTTCCTGGTCTGGATTTTGTGTCACAATTGGTGCTTCCGCTGCAAAGAAACTCTGTTAAAGCTTTAAACCCCAAACACAATGCAAACCTACTTACTCTTCAAGCGCTTCAAATGCGAGGATTATTATTATTTTACATAATGGAAAAGATTGTTTTTTTTTCTTAGTCACCATGCTTAAGAGCTTCTAAAGCAGACTGAGCTTTCCAGATATGTATGCCTCCTACACGTATGAATTTCCCTGTGTCTGGAAGGGGAGTGCACACTCTCTGCCCGGAGTGAAGCATCCTGCTTGCTTAAACCCGGAAAGCATTCAGGCAAGTTAGCAAGAGCCAAGGAAAGGAAAACTCGTTCACTTTACGGCTGTTTGCTACGTGCAAATGGGCAGCCTATTTTACCTACAAATATAATGTGACCTAATTTACAGAAAAGTCTGTGAGGCACTTGGAGATATTTTGACACAATGAGGAACTGTATCAAATGTATAGATTATAATAATAATCCTTGCATCTGATTTAGCGAGTCTTCGAGACGTCTCAAAGCACTTCACAGAATATACTGCAAAGTGAACTGACTATATTTTGTGGACGAAACACGGCAGACAATTGCGCACAACAGCGTCCCACAACCAGTTGTGGATTGAGTGACTAAATTATTTTTATTTTATTACTTTTTTGGATGGATTATTACCCCGGGGAAAAGCGATCCACCAATCAACTAACAACCGCATTCCCATTTATGGCTGGCTAAACAGAAGCGTGTGGAGTAAGGAAACTTGCCTAACGCTTCGTTCTGCCTGGGCATTGAACCCAGGTCCTCTCCCTTGCGAGGCGAGTGCTCTAACCACTTAGCTCAGGACTCCATTATGTATAAAATTATAGAATAAAGGCATTTCATCAACTCTTTTTTAGTTTAAATTAAAACAATGGACTTCTGCTTCCTAACGGGTATGATCAATTTTAGTGTCCTTTAAAAACAGTGAAAGATCTCTATAGCGCACCATTTACCGTTCTGTATTAAAACTGATGTACTAAGCACTAAACTTCTATGGCAGTTCAGTGGTTGGGCATAAAGTATGATGCTCTATGCTCTGAAACTATCATAAAGATTTGAGTCAATTCCACCATTCCATTGCCAAGCACATCATCTTGGACGCAGCTCAGTTCCAAGGACACCCTGCTTACCACCTCCCTCGCCCCCTTCCAAGCAGTTCAGTCACGACCTTAAGGTGCAATGAACATTGACACACGTTTTATAAAAAAAAGGTCAGACTTACTGGGTAAAGCAGCTGATTCGTGATAATCTGAGGAATAAAGAAATTCTCTTTAGGATAATTTATCACAGTTAAGTATTTATTTTGAAAGCATTCTAAATGTTTTTGGCTCCACGCTTCTCAATCACCGGAGACTCCAGACAATTTATTGAATGCCGAGTATAATTTAACCTGAACAATTACCATTCACATAGAGGCTGTTGCTGTCCAGATCGTATCTTGCCAAGGCAGAAATATGGTTTGTCTTCTCACTGAAGGTCTTGTAAACGGTGATTCTATCCACGTCCTGAACAGTGGGGTCCTTTTTGAAAGTGCATATTGCATGCACTGAAGTGTTGTCAATATTTGCACGGCTGTCAAATAAAATGAATCAATTAACGAGAGAGCTCATGGGTGACCACAGGAACATAGAAGCAGGAGAAAGCCATTCTCCGAGGCTCTTTGAAATGTCTCAAAGACATGATCAGGCGCAATATCAAATGCAAGGATTATTTATTATGATTATTATTATTATTCAGTCTCTTGAGCCTGTTTCGCTGTTTTATTAGATCTTGGCTGATCTATACCTCAACTCCAAATACCTGTCTTTTGCCCCACGTCCCTTGATACCCTGACCTAACAAAAATCTATCCACCATATTTGAACCATTCATTCAAACATGAACAATTACAAAATGGAAACTCCAGGCTGGTGTTGACAGGTTATCGAACAGGCAGATTTGTGGAAAAATTGCTAATAATTATTACTTAATTTTATTTGGGCACCTTTTAAGTGAGAAGGGCTTCTCAAAGCACCTCAGAGGATATGTACTATAAGGAGTAGTGACTATGTAGTTCGAGATTCATTTTTGTGGTTGTGAAAATGAATCATTTCAAATAATAACCAATGTGTTCAGCCATTGAAACAAAATGAGTTTCAATCTGATAACATAATGTAATCTGAAAACTGGTGTGATGTGCATCCACTTTGCTTCCATTAGCCGAATGCATACTGTGCAGTGTAATTATCCAAAACATGTTTTCTACGACCAAGGTGGCATTATCTGAATTTATCATTTAGAAAACTACCTAAAAAATACACAATGCTTTACCACAAATCGCGAGAAGTGCTTTGAGACATCCTCCCGACATGAAGGGCGCTGTCTAAAATGCTGTCTAAACAGTTTATTTTCTTGAATTGGTGAAGAAAATTCTTACCTGAGGCTTTGTACATTGCAATTGGAAAATGTTTTGTTGATGATGCTATTGTTATACAAATTGTCGAGCTGAATGAAAGAAAACATATTACTTTAGAAGAAATAAATAACTGAATTATTTAGTATTCTTTGGTGTTGAATTGTTGCTATGACAAGCATACCCTATTAGCAATAATAGCCGATGCAGAAAGGTAGAGAACAGTGTCGGGATTTTGTAGTTGAGATGTGAATGGCAGGTTGGTGACAATGAAGGTCACATTAAACTGCAGTGTTGGTGCTCCCTGGTTTGGATTTTGTGTTACCACCACGATTGGTTCTTCCGCTGTAAGAAAAAAGGGAAATCCATTTTTATATTTGGAACAGAGAAAGATCATTTCATCCAAAATCACTCTACTTTTCTCATTTTCAAATCCCTTCACTCTCTGGCACCATATCCACTACCTCTCCCACCTCATCACTCCCCTCTACCACCCAGCACCTCAGCTCGACTGGCACCGACCTCCTGCATGTTCCTCGCGACTTTCGCTCCACCATTGTAGGTCGCGCATTCAGCCGCTACTCCCCGAAACTCTAGAACACTCTCCCTCAATCCTTCCTCCTTGCCCCCTCTCTCCCCTTTTTCGAGTCCTGCCTGAAAAGTTTCCTTTTCGACCGTGCTTACGGTCACCTTCCCCCCAACCCGGCTCGGAGTCAGGCCCTTCCACTATGAAGCTCTGAGACGCTACCATACATGCAAGACGCCATATATGTGCAAGTTGTTGTACACCATTCCTTGACACTGCTTAAAACTATTTCCGCTAATTAGCCTGGCTCGGTTAGTAGCACTCTTGCCTCTGAGGCAGATGGTGATGGGTGCCGTCTGGCTGTTCAGGTGGAAGTTAAAGATTCCATGACAATATATGAAATGGGAAGGCAGCTTCTCTCAGTATCCTGGCCAACACTCATCCGAAATTAATTCAATGACCAATTCAACTCGGGTCATTCCAAGCTATATTTAGTTAAAATATATAGTTTCAGATTTAGTTTAAATCTCCGGCAAGAACCACAATTTGTGGTGTACCCTGCATTGCAACACAAAGACAAGTCCTCACTTACTTGGCAAAGCTTCTTTGTGGAAACCTGAGAAAACAACAAAAAACAGTTAACTTGTGCTAACAAGTGCAACAGAAAGTAAACATTAAATTAACTTTTCATAATAACATCAGATGAACAAAAGTCTTCCAATACAAAATTAAGAATATTCCAATCATTTGCACGATTACCATTTACGTAGAGACTGTTGGTGTCCAGTGTATATGTTCCCAGGAGAGAGATCTGGTTTGTTTTTTCACTGAACTTCTTGTAAATGATCACCTTATCGACATTCCCAATCTCGGGGTTGTTTTTGAAAGTACAGAGAGCGTACACTGATGTGTGGTCAACCTTTGCACGACTGTCAAATAAAAAAATTAATTAATGTGGCAGGACTGAAAAGAGATTACACATTAATTAATTACTATTATGAGAAAGGGACCATTGTATAAATGTGATTTTAAAGAAAGCATTAGAATATCCACTTGAAGATGTGCTCATGAAAAGGAAAACATATTTCCAATCTAACAATGGCTGTTTGGGACTGAGAAACAAATTCTTACCTGAACGATTCTACATTGCAATGTGAGAATGCTGGGCTGATGTTGCTGTTATTAAAAATATTATCAAGCTGCAGGAAATCAAACAAAAGATTAGAAGAAATCACCAAAAAGAGTACATTCCTGATATCTCAGCGCTGTGTTAACTTGTCACTTCCCCTTAAGTCATCCTACTGTCGATGACAACATCTTCAACTTGCACTTAATAACGCCCTTCATACCGGACCTGAGAACATGAGAAATGCTACACGAAAAAAGACCAAGTTCCATCAAGTTTGCCTTCCAACTTCCTGTTACATTTTCAACAAATCTCCACATATTTACAAACTGCCATCTTACCCGATTAGCAATAACCTTTGCTGCAGAATTGTGCAGTTGAGATCCTGAATTTTCCAGCTCTGGTGTCAATGGCAGGTTGGTGATAATGAAGGTCACATTGAACGCTTCTTCCAGAGGTGGATTTGGAGTTACCTTCACAGTTGGTCCTTGTGCTGCAAAGACACACACAGATAATGTATGAGACTGATAATACAATGTCAATGTGTAACTTGATATACTTTATGCTAATGATGGGTAAAAAGTTAATATATCTGATGATGAATATCAAAGATACTTCATTGGCTTATTGTACTTAATTGAAACTAATGATCGTCTATTGAGTATTTAATACAAAATAACATTTGTAAAGCGCCTTTCATGTCGAGAGGACGTCCCAAGGCGCTGAGCAGTCAGGGATTAGGACGCAAGTTGGGATCACAGAGGGTGGAGGGAAGAGAGGGTAGGAGGGAGGCTGGAGATGCTGCCAAAGAGGAGGGTCTTGAGGCGTGTGTTGAAGGAGGCAAGGGAAGGAGCGTGCCGAAAGGGATGTCTAGTGTATATGTTTCCAAGAGAGAGATCTGGTTTGAGTTTCCACTGACATCCATTTATCCCCATCCAGAGGGTGGGGCAGAGAGGCTCAAGGCCTGACGCCGATGGTGAGGTGGGCCGGTGGGGTACATCGAGCGGGCATTTGAAATTCTGGAGGCTCTCAACATGAGGCTGACTATGTTATCCTGAGAAACTGAGCACGAATGTCGCCTAATTTCTTAGAGGATAAATGCACATTAAGCTGCACAGCCGAGACACACAAACTGTTTACTGAATTGTTAAAGTTCCCATCTCAGTTGATAAACACATATTATTGTCGTTCCGTCGAGGCAATGAAACTGTTTGCTGATTTATTTAAGACCCCATTTCCCGAAACTGCACAAAAACAGGTCAGACTTACTCGTTAAAGGAGTTGTTTCGTGATAATCTGAGGAAACAAGAAAATGCACTTAGAATGATTGAAATCAATGAAACAATCTCCTTGATATTTTCAAACACCACAATACAATTAGCTTTTTCCGTAATTTATTAAATTACACTCGATCACAAGGTTTCATATACACCCAACACAGTTTGATATAATAGAAGATTTCTTCAGAATTCATCATTACCATTTACGTAGAGACTGTTGGTGTCCAGTGTATATGTTCCCAGGAGAGAGATCTGGTTTGTTTTTTCACTGAACTTCTTGTAAATGATAACCTTATCGACATTCCCAATCTCGGGGTTGTTTTTGAAAGTACAGAGAGCGTACACTGATGTGTGGTCAACCTTTGCACGGCTGTCAAATAAAAAAATCAATTAATGCGGCAAGAATGAAAAGAGATTACACATTAATTAATTACTATTATGAGAAAGGGACTACTGTGTAAATGTGATTTTAAAGAAAGCATTAGAATGTCCACTTCAAGATGTGCTCATGAAAAGGAAAACATATTTCCAATCTAACAATGGCTGTTTGGGACTGAGAAACAAATTCTTACCTGAACGATTCTACATTGCAATGTGAGAATGCTGGGCTGATGTTGCTGTTATTAAAAATATTATCAAGCTGCAGGAAACCAAACAAAAGATGAGAAAAATCACCAAAAAGAGTACATTCCTGATATCTCAGCGCTGTGTTAACTTGTCACTTCCCCTTAAGTCATCCTACTGTCGATGACAACATCTTCAACTTGCACTTAATAACGCCCTTCATACCGGACATAAGAACATGAGAAATGCTACATGAAAAAAGACCAAGTTCCATCTAGTTTGCCTTCCAACTTCCTGCCGGTCATATACACATATGTCCCGAACTCCCTCTGTACTAAATCCCATAATGTTATTTCCTAAAAGAAAGAAATATTTGCTGCATTTATTTATTTATAACCAAAGCCTAATTTGCTACTCTGGACGGCTCATTACTGAGCCTCATCACCTGTCACTGATACAAGTTATCAGAAGTTTATTCTATTACGTTTTCAACAAATCTCTACATATTTACAAACTGCCATCTTACCCGATTAGCAATAACCTTTGCTGCAGAATTGTGCAGTTGAGATCCTGAATTTTCCAGCTCTGGTGTGAATGGCAGGTTGGTGATAATGAAGGTCACATTGAACGCTTCTTCCAGAGGTGGATTTGGAGTTACCTTCACAGTTGGTCCTTGTGCTGCAAAGACACACAGATAATGTACGAGACTGAAAATACAATGTCAATGTGTAACTTGATATACTTTACGCTAATGATGGGTAAAAAGTTAAGATATCTGATGATGAATATCAAAGATACTTCATTGGCTTATTGTACTTCATTGTAACTAATGATCGTCTATTGAGTATTTAACACAAAATAACGTTTGTAAAGCGCCTTTCACGTCGGGTGGACGTCCCAAGGCGCTGAGCAGTCAGGGATTAGGACGCAAGTTGGGATCACTGAGGGTGGAGGGTAGAGAGGGTAGGAGGGAGGCTGGAGATGCTGCCAAAGAGGAGGGTCTTGAGGCGTGTGTTGAAGGAGGCAAGGGAAGGAGCGTGCCGAAAGGGATGTCCAGTGTATATGTTTCCAAGAGAGAGATCTGGTTTGCGTTTCCACTGACATCCATTTATCCCCATCCAGAGGGTGGGGCAGAGAGGCTGAAGGCCCGACCGCCGATGGTGAGGTGGGGCGGTGGGGGACACAGAGGGGGCATTTGAAATTCTGGAGGCTCTCAACATGAGGCTGACTATGTTATCCTGAGAAACTGAACATGAATGTCGTTTGATTTCTTAGAGGATAAACGCATATTAAGCTGCACAGCCGAGACCCACAAACTGTTTACTGAATTGTTAAAGACCCCATCTCAGTTGATAAACTCATATTATTATCATTCCGTCGAGGCAATGAAACTGTTTACTGATTTATTTAAGACCCCTTCCCCGAAACTGCACAAAAACAGGTCAGACTTACTCGTGAAAGGAGTTGTTTCGTGATAACCTGATGAAACAAGAAAATGCACTTAGAATGATTGAAATCAATTAAATAATCTCCTTGATATTTTCAAACACCACAATACAATTAGCTTTTTCCGTAACTTATTAAATTACACTCGAACACAAGGTTTCATATACACCCAACACAGTTTGATACAATAGAATATTTCTTCAGACTTCATCGTTACCATTTACGTAGAGACTGTTGGTGTCCAGTGTATATGTTCCCAGGAGAGAGATCTGGTTTGTTTTTTCACTGAACTTCTTGTAAATGATAACCTTATCGACATTCCCAATTTCGGTGTTGTTTTTGAAAGTACAGAGAGCGTACACTGATGTGTGGTCAACCTTTGCACGACTGTCAAATAAAAAAATCAATTAATTTGGCAGGAATGAAAAGAGATTACACATTAAGGTTATTAGTATTATGAGAAAGGGACTATTGTGTAAATATGATTTTAAAGAAAGCATTAGAATATCCACTTGAAGTTGTGCTCATGAAAAAGAAAACATATTTCCAATCTAACAATGTCTATTTGGGACTGAGAAACAAATTCTTACCTGAGCGATTCTACTTTGCAATGTGAGAATGCTGGGCTGATGTTGCTGTTATTAAAAATATTATCAAGCTGCAGGAAATCAAACAAAAGATTAGGAGAAATCACCAAATAGAGTAAATTCCTGATATCTCAGCCCTGTCTTAACTTGTCACTTCCCCTTAAGTCATCCGACTGTCGATGACAACATCTTCAACTTGCACTTAATAACGCCCTTCATACCGGACCTGAGAACATGAGAAATGCTACACGAAAAAAGACCAAGTTCCATCTAGTTTGCCTTCCAACTTCCTGCCGGTCACATACACATATGTCCCGAACTCCCTCTGTACTAAATCCCATAATGTTATTTCCTAAAAAAAAGAAATATCTGCTGTATTTATTTATTTATAACAGAAGCTTAATTTGCGACTCTGGACGGCTCATGACTGAGCCTGATCACCTGTCACTGATACAAGTTATCAGGAATTTATTGTATTACTTTTTCAACACATCTCTACATAATTACATACTGCCATCTTACCCGATTAGCAATAACATTTGCTGCAGAATTGTACAGTTGAGATCCTGAATTTTCCAGCTCTGGTGTGAATGGCAGGTTGGTGATAATGAAGGTCACATTGAACGCTTCTTCCAGAGGTGGATTTGGAGTTACCTTCATAGTTGGTCCTTGTGCTGCAAAGACACACAGATAATGTACGAGACTGAAAATACAATGTCAATGTGTAACACTTGATATACTTTATGCTAATGATGGGTACAAAGTTAATATATCTGATCCTGAATATCAAAGATACTTCATTGGCTTATTGTATTTAATGATGGTCTATTGAGTATTTAACACAAAATAACGTTTGTAAAGCGCCTTTCACGTCGAGAGGACGTCCCAAGGCGCTGAGCAGTCAGGGGTTAGCACCCAAGTTGGGATCACTGAGGGTGGAGGGTACAGAGGGTAGGAGGGAGGCTGGAGACGCTGCCAAAGAGGAGGGTTTTGAGGCATGTGTTGAAGGAGGCAAGGGAAGGAGCGAGGCGAAAGGGATATCTAGTTTATATGTTTCCAAAAGAGAGATCTGATTTGGGTATCCGCTGACATCCATTTATCCCCATCCAGAAGGTGGGGCAGAGAGGCTGAAGGCTCGACCGCCGATGGTGAGGTGGGCCGGTGGGGGTCACAGAGAAGGCCTTTGAAATTCTGGAGGCTCTCATCATGATGCTGACTATGTTATCCTGAGAAACTGAACACGAATGTCGCTCGATTTCTTAGAGGATAAACGCAAATTAAGCTGCACAGCCGAGACACACAAAGTGTTTACTGAATTGTTAAAGACCTCATCTCAGTTGATAAACTCATATTATTTGTTCTGTCGAGGCACCGAACCTGTAAGCTGATTTATTTAAGACCTCATTCCCCGAAACTGCACAAAAACAGGTCAGACTTACTCGTTAAAGGAGTTGTTTCGTGATAACCTGAGGAAACAAGAAAATGCACTGAGAATGATTGAAATCAATGAAATAATCTCCTTGATATTTTCAAACACAAATACAATAAGTGTTTTCCGTAACTTATTAAATTACGCTCGAACACAAGGTTTCATATACACCCAACACAGTTTGATACAATAGAATATTTCTTCAGAATTCATCATTACCATTTACGTAGAGACTGTTGGTGTCCAGTGTATATGTTCCCAGGAGAGAGATCTGGTTTGTTTTTTCACTGAACTTCTTGTAAATGATAACCTTATCGACATTCCCAATTTCGGTGTTGTTTTTGAAAGTACAGAGAGCGTACACTGATGTGTGGTCAACCTTTGCACGACTGTCAAATACAAAAATCAATTAATTTGGCAGGAATGAAAAGAGATTACACATTAAGGTTATTAGTATTATGAGAAAGTGACTATTGTGTAAATGTGATGTTAAGGAAAGCATTAGAATATCCACTTGAAGGTGTGTTCGTGAAAAAGAAAACATATTTCCAATCTAACAATGTCTATTTGCGGCTGAGAAACAAATTCTTACCTGAGCGATTCTACTTTGCAATGTGAGAATGCTGGGCTGATGTTGCTGTTATTAAAAATATTATCAAGCTGCAGGAAATCAAACAAAAGATTAGAAGAAATCACCAAAAAGAGTAAATTCCCGATATCTCAGCCCTGTCTTAACTTGTCACGTCCCCTTAAGTCATCCTACTGTCGATGACAACATCTTCAACTTGCACTTAATAACGCCCTTCATACCGGACCTGAGAACATGAGAAATGCTACATGAAAAAAGACCAAGTTCCATCTAGTTTGCTTTCCAACTTCCTGCCGGTCACATACACATATGTCCCGAACTCCCTCTGTCCTAAATCCCATCATGTTATTTCCTAAAAAAAAGAAATATCTGCTGCATTTATTTATTTATAACAGAAGCTTAATTTGCTACTCTGGACGGCTCATTACTGAGCCTGATCACCTGTCACTGATACAAGTTATCAGAAGTTTATTCTATTACGTTTTCAACAAATCTCTATATATTTACAAACTGCCATCTTACCCGATTAGCAATAACCTTTGCTGCAGAATTGTGCAGTTGAGATCCTGAATTTTCCAGCTCTGGTGTGAATGGCAGGTTGGTGATAATGAAGGTCACATTGAATGCTTCTTCCAGAGGTGGATTTGGAGTTACCTCCACAGTTGGTCCTTGTGCTGCAAACACACACAGATAATGTACGAGACTGAAAATACAATGTCAATGTATAACACTTCATATACTTTATGCTAATGATGGGTAAAAGGTTAACATATCTGGTGATGAATATCAAAGATACTTCATTGGCTTATTGTATTTAATTGAAACTAATGATCGTCTATTGAGTATTTATTACAAAATAACGTTTGTAAAGCGCCTTTCACGTCGGGTGGACGTCCCAAGGCGCTGAGCAGTCAGGGGTGAGGACCCAAGTTGGGATCACTGAGGGTGGAGGTTAGAGAGGGTAGGAGGGAGGCTGGAGATGCTGCCAAAGAGGAGGGTCTTGAGGCGTGTGTTGAAGGTGGCAAGGGAAGGAGCGTGCCGAAAGGGATGACTAGTGTATATGTTTCCAAGAAAGAGATCTGGTTTGAGTTTCCACTGACATCCATTTATCCCCATCCAGAGGGTGGGGCAGAGAGGCTGAAGGCTCGACCGCCGATGGTGAGGTGGGCCGGTGGGGGACATAGAGCGTGTCTTTGAAATTCTGGAGGCTCTCATCATGATGCTGATTATGTTATCCTGAGAAACTGAACACGAATGTCGCCTGATTTCTTAGAGGATAAACGCACATTAAGCTGCACAGCCGAGACACACAAACTGTTTACTGAATTCTTAAAGTTCCCATCTCAGTTGATAAACTCATATTATTGTCGTTGCGTCGAGGCAATGAAACTGTAAGCTGATTTATTCAAGACCCCATTCCCCGAAACTGCACGAAAACAGGTCAGACTTACTTGTTAAAGGAGTTGTTTCGTGGTAACCTGAGGAAGCAAGAAAATGCACTTAGGATGTTTGAACTCAATGAAATCATTCTCCTTGATATTTGTAAACACCATAATTCAATTAGCTTGTTTTTACTTATTAAATTACATTCGAACAAAAGCTTTCACGTATATAATACACAGTGGATACAATAGAATATTTCCATCAGAATTCATCATTACCATTTACATAGAGACTGTTGGTGTCCAGTGTATATGTTCCCAGGAGAGAGATCTGGTTTGTTTTTTCACTGAATGTCTTGTAAACGGTAACCTTATCGACATTCCCAATCCCGGTGGTGTTTTTGAAAGTACAGAGAGCGTACACTGATGTCTGGTCATCATTTACACGACTGTCAAATAAACAATCAATTAAATCGGCATTAATGAAGAGAGATTGCACATTAACAATATGAGCATCATAGCAAACGGACCTGTCCACAATACAAAAATTGACATGGAATCTAAAAAAGTATATTTTGTGCAAAGAACAACATTGCTTACCTGAGCGATTTTAGTTTGCAACGTGAGAATGTTGGACTGATGTTGCTGTTATTAAAGATGTTGTCAAGCTGTGGGATTTAAAACAAAGCATTAGCAGAAATGATCGACTTTGGCATTTTAGACTCATTTAGAAATATTTGCGTATTAGTGCACAAGCTTACCCTATCATTAATAACACTTGCTGCAGAATGGTAGAGTGGAGACTCAGGATTTCCCAGCTCTGATGTGAATGCCAGGCTGGTGATAATGAAGGTCACATTGAACGGAAGTGCAGGTGCTCCCTGGTTTGGAATTTGTGTTACCACCACAACTGGTGCTTCCGCTGCAAAGGTACACAAATAATGTATTAGACTCAAAATACAATGAAAAAAATCTGCTCCACTAGATGCACTTCGTTTTAATGATGGTAAAAGGAAATGGATCTAATTCAGGACTGAACAAAAACACAACTTGGTGTATTGAGTTGAATTGAATCCAATGATCTTCAGATTTGCTACTCAGTTTTCAATTCAGTGCTTGATCATCAAGCCTGAGGTGGATAGCTATTTGCTAGATCAAGGTATTAAGGGATACGGGCCAAAGGCAGGTAATTGGACGTAAAAATGGTGGAAGAGGCTCGAGGGCTGAATAGCCAACTCCAGTGTCCATGTTTATGCATTTCAAACAGTTTGTGACTTTTCAAATTCTTGATGCTCTCACCATGATCTTGACTATACACTGAGAAACTGAACACAAACGTGGCCTGATTTTTTTTAGAGGATGAGCACATGAATTGTGCCGGGCTACTGAAACACACAAACTATTTACTGATTTGTTTAAGGCTCCATTCCCCAAAACTGCACACAAACAGGTCAGACTTACTGGTTAAAGGAGTTGTTTCGTGATAACCTGAGGAAGCAAGAAAATGCACTTAGAATGATTGAAATCAATGAAATAATCTCCTTGATATTTTCAAACACCACAATACAATTAGCTTTTTCCGTAACTTATTAAATTACACTCGAACACAAGGTTTCATATACACCCAACACAGTTTGATACAATAGAATATTTCTTCAGACTTCATCGTTACCATTTACGTAGAGACTGTTGGTGTCCAGTGTATATGTTCCCAGGAGAGAGATCTGGTTTGTTTCTTCACTGAACTTCTTGTAAATGAGAACCTTATCGACATTCCCAATTTCGGTGTTGTTTTTGAAAGTACAGAGAGCGTACACTGATGTGTGGTCAACCTTTGCACGACTGTCAAATACAAAAATCAATTAATTTGGCAGGAATGAAAAGAGATCACACATTAAGGTTATTAGTATTATGAGAAAGTGACTATTGTGTAAATGTGATGTTAAGGAAAGCATTAGAATATCCACTTGAAGGTGTGTTCGTGAAAAAGAAAACATATTTCCAATCTAACAATGTCTATTTGCGGCTGAGAAACAAATTCTTACCTGAGCGATTCTACTTTGCAATGTGAGAATGCTGGGCTGATGTTGCTGTTATTAAAAATATTATCAAGCTGCAGGAAATCAAACAAAAGATTAGAAGAAATCACCAAAAAGAGTAAATTCCCGATATCTCAGCCCTGTCTTAACTTGTCACTTCCCCTTAAGTCATCCTACTGTCGATGACAACATCTTCAACTTGCACTTAATAACGCCCTTCATACCGGACCTGAGAACATGAGAAATGCTACATGAAAAAAGACCAAGTTCCATCTAGTTTGCCTTCCAACTTCCTGCCGGTCACATACACATATGTCCCGAACTCCCTCTGTACTAAATCCCATAATGTTATTTCCTAAAAAAAAGAAATATCTGCTGCATTTATTTATTTATAACAGACGCCTAATTTGCTACTCTGGACGGCTCATTACTGAGCCTGATCACCTGTCACTGATACAAGTTATCAGGAATTTATTGTATTACGTTTTCAATAAATCTCTACATATTTACATACTGCCATCTTACCCGATCAGCAATAACATTTGCTGCAGAATTGTACAGTTGAGATCCTGAATTTTCCAGCTCTGGTGTGAATGGCAGGTTGGTGATAATGAAGGTCACATTGAATGCTTCTTCCAGCGGTGGATTTGAAGTTACCTCCACAGTTGGTCCTTGTGCTGCAAAGACACACAGATAATGTACGAGACTGAAAATACAATGTCAATGTGTAACACTTGATATACTTTCTGCTAATGATGGGTACAAAGTTAATATATCTGATGATGAATATCAAAGGTACTTCATTGGCTTATTGTATTTAATGATGATCTATTGAGTATTTAATGCAAAATAAAATTTGTGAAGCGCCTTTCACGTCGAGAGGACGTCCCAAGGCGCTGAGCAGTCAGGGGTTAGGACCAAGTTGGGATCACTGAGGGTGGAGGAAAGAGAGGGTAGGAGGGAGGCTGGAGATGCTGCCAAAGAGGAGGGTCTTGAGGAGTTTGTTGAAGGAGGCAAGGGAAGGTGCGAAGAGAAAGGGATGTCCAGTGTATATGTTTCCAAGAGAGAGATCTGGTTTGAGTTTCCACTGATATCCATTTATCCCCATCCAGAGGGTGGGGCAGAGAAGCTGAAGGCCCGACCGCTGATGGTGAGGTGGGCCGGTGGGGCACAATGAGCGTGTCTTTGAAACTCTGGAGGCTCTCATCATGATGCTGACTATGTTATCCTGAGAAACTGAACACGAATGTCGCTTGATTTCTTAGAGGATAAACGCACATTAAGCTGCACAGCCGAGACACACAAACTGAATTGTTAAAAAACCCATCTCAGTTGATAAACTCATATTATTTGTTCTGTCGAGGCATCGAACCTGCAAGCTGATTTATTTAAGACCCCATTTCCCCAAAACTGCACAAAAACAGGTCAGACTTACTCGTTAGAGGAGTTGTTTCGTGATAACCTGAGGAAACAAGAAAATGCACTGAGAATGATTGAAATCAGTGAGATAATCTCCTTGATATTTTCAAACACCGCAATACAATTATCTTTTCCATAACTTATTAAATTACACTCGAACACAAGGTTTCATATACACCCAACACAGTTTGATACAATAGAATATTTCTTCAGAATTCATCGTTACCATTTACGTAGAGACTGTTGGTGTCCAGTGTATATGTTCCCAGGAGAGAGATCTGGTTTGTTTCTTCACTGAACTTCTTGTAAATGAGAACCTTATCGACATTCCCAATTTCGGTGTTGTTTTTGAAAGTACAGAGAGCGTACACTGATGTGTGGTCAACCTTTGCACGACTGTCAAATACAAAAAACAATTAATTTGGCAGGAATGAAAAGAGATTACACATTAAGGTTATTAGTATTATGAGAAAGGGACTATTGTGTAGATGTGATTTTAAGGAAAGCATTAGAATATCCACTTGAAGGTGTGTTCATGAAAAAGAAAACATATTTCCAATCTAACAATGTCTATTTGCGGCTGAGAAACAAATTCTTACCTGAGCGATTCTACTTTGCAATGTGAGAATGCTGGGCTGATGTTGCTGTTATTAAAAATATTATCAAGCTGCAGGAAATCAAACAAAAGATTAGAAGAAATCACCAAAAAGAGTAAATTCCCGATATCTCAGCCCTGTCTTAACTTGTCACTTCCCCTTAAGTCATCCTACTGTCGATGACAACATCTTCAACTTGCACTTAATAACGCCCTTCATACCGGACCTGAGAACATGAGAAATGCTACATGAAAAAAGACCAAGTTCCATCTAGTTTGCCTTCCAACTTCCTGCCGGTCACATACACATATGTCCCGAACTCCCTCTGTACTAAATCCCATAATGTTATTTCCTAAAAAAAAGAAATATCTGCTGCATTTATTTATTTATAACAGACGCCTAATTTGCTACTCTGGACGGCTCATTACTGAGCCTGATCACCTGTCACTGATACAAGTTATCAGGAATTTATTGTATTACGTTTTCAATAAATCTCTACATATTTACATACTGCCATCTTACCCGATCAGCAATAACATTTGCTGCAGAATTGTACAGTTGAGATCCTGAATTTTCCAGCTCTGGTGTGAATGGCAGGTTGGTGATAATGAAGGTCACATTGAATGCTTCTTCCAGCGGTGGATTTGAAGTTACCTCCACAGTTGGTCCTTGTGCTGCAAAGATACACAGATAATGTACGAGACTGAAAATACAATGTCAATGTGTAACACTTGATATACTTTCTGCTAATGATGGGTACAAAGTTAATATATCTGATGATGAATATCAAAGGTACTTCATTGGCTTATTGTATTTAATGATGATCTATTGAGTATTTAATGCAAAATAAAATTTGTGAAGCGCCTTTCACGTCGAGAGGACGTCCCAAGGCGCTGAGCAGTCAGGGGTTAGGACCCAAGTTGGGATCACTGAGGGTGGAGGAAAGAGAGGGTAGGAGGGAGGCTGGAGATGCTGCCAAAGAGGAGGGCCTTGAGGAGTTTGTTGAAGGAGGCAAGGGAAGGTGCGAAGAGAAAGGGATGTCCAGTGTATATGTTTCCAAGAGAGAGATCTGGTTTGAGTTTCCACTGATATCCATTTATCCCCATCCAGAGGGTGGGGCAGAGAAGCTGAAGGCCCGACCGCTGATGGTGAGGTGGGCCGGTGGGGCACAATGAGCGTGTCTTTGAAACTCTGGAGGCTCTCATCATGATGCTGACTATGTTATCCTGAGAAACTGAACACGAATGTCGCTTGATTTCTTAGAGGATAAACGCACATTAAGCTGCACAGCCGAGACACACAAACTGAATTGTTAAAAAACCCATCTCAGTTGATAAACTCATATTATTTGTTCTGTCGAGGCATCGAACCTGTAAGCTGATTTATTTAAGACCCCATTTCCCCAAAACTGCACAAAAACAGGTCAGACTTACTCGTTAGAGGAGTTGTTTCGTGATAACCTGAGGAAACAAGAAAATGCACTGAGAATGATTGAAATCAGTGAGATAATCTCCTTGATATTTTCAAACACCACAATACAATTATCTTTTCCATAACTTATTAAATTACACTCGAACACAAGGTTTCATATACACCCAACACAGTTTGATACAATAGAATATTTCTTCAGAATTCATCGTTACCATTTACGTAGAGACTGTTGGTGTCCAGTGTATATGTTCCCAGGAGAGAGATCTGGTTTGTTTCTTCACTGAACTTCTTGTAAATGAGAACCTTATCGACATTCCCAATTTCGGTGTTGTTTTTGAAAGTACAGAGAGCGTACACTGATGTGTGGTCAACCTTTGCACGACTGTCAAATACAAAAAACAATTAATTTGGCAGGAATGAAAAGAGATTACACATTAAGGTTATTAGTATTATGAGAAAGGGACTATTGTGTAGATGTGATTTTAAGGAAAGCATTAGAATATCCACTTGAAGGTGTGTTCATGAAAAAGAAAACATATTTCCAATCTAACAATGTCTATTTGCGGCTGAGAAACAAATTCTTACCTGAGCGATTCTACTTTGCAATGTGAGAATGCTGGGCTGATGTTGCTGTTATTAAAAATATTATCAAGCTGCAGGAAATCAAACAAAAGATTAGAAGAAATCACCAAAAAGAGTAAATTCCCGATATCTCAGCCCTGTCTTAACTTGTCACTTCCCCTTAAGTCATCCTACTGTCGATGACAACATCTTCAACTTGCACTTAATAACGCCCTTCATACCGGACCTGAGAACATGAGAAATGCTACATGAAAAAAGACCAAGTTCCATCTAGTTTGCCTTCCAACTTCCTGCCGGTCACATACACATATGTCCCGAACTCCCTCTGTACTAAATCCCATAATGTTATTTCCTAAAAAAAAGAAATATCTGCTGCATTTATTTATTTATAACAGACGCCTAATTTGCTACTCTGGACGGCTCATTACTGAGCCTGATCACCTGTCACTGATACAAGTTATCAGGAATTTATTGTATTACGTTTTCAATAAATCTCTACATATTTACATACTGCCATCTTACCCGATCAGCAATAACATTTGCTGCAGAATTGTACAGTTGAGATCCTGAATTTTCCAGCTCTGGTGTGAATGGCAGGTTGGTGATAATGAAGGTCACATTGAATGCTTCTTCCAGCGGTGGATTTGAAGTTACCTCCACAGTTGGTCCTTGTGCTGCAAAGATACACAGATAATGTACGAGACTGAAAATACAATGTCAATGTGTAACACTTGATATACTTTCTGCTAATGATGGGTACAAAGTTAATATATCTGATGATGAATATCAAAGGTACTTCATTGGCTTATTGTATTTAATGATGATCTATTGAGTATTTAATGCAAAATAAAATTTGTGAAGCGCCTTTCACGTCGAGAGGACGTCCCAAGGCGCTGAGCAGTCAGGGGTTAGGACCCAAGTTGGGATCACTGAGGGTGGAGGAAAGAGAGGGTAGGAGGGAGGCTGGAGATGCTGCCAAAGAGGAGGGCCTTGAGGAGTTTGTTGAAGGAGGCAAGGGAAGGTGCGAAGAGAAAGGGATGTCCAGTGTATATGTTTCCAAGAGAGAGATCTGGTTTGAGTTTCCACTGATATCCATTTATCCCCATCCAGAGGGTGGGGCAGAGAAGCTGAAGGCCCGACCGCTGATGGTGAGGTGGGCCGGTGGGGCACAATGAGCGTGTCTTTGAAACTCTGGAGGCTCTCATCATGATGCTGACTATGTTATCCTGAGAAACTGAACACGAATGTCGCTTGATTTCTTAGAGGATAAACGCACATTAAGCTGCACAGCCGAGACACACAAACTGAATTGTTAAAAAACCCATCTCAGTTGATAAACTCATATTATTTGTTCTGTCGAGGCATCGAACCTGTAAGCTGATTTATTTAAGACCCCATTTCCCCAAAACTGCACAAAAACAGGTCAGACTTACTCGTTAGAGGAGTTGTTTCGTGATAACCTGAGGAAACAAGAAAATGCACTGAGAATGATTGAAATCAGTGAGATAATCTCCTTGATATTTTCAAACACCACAATACAATTATCTTTTCCATAACTTATTAAATTACACTCGAACACAAGGTTTCATATACACCCAACACAGTTTGATACAATAGAATATTTCTTCAGAATTCATCGTTACCATTTACGTAGAGACTGTTGGTGTCCAGTGTATATGTTCCCAGGAGAGAGATCTGGTTTGTTTCTTCACTGAACTTCTTGTAAATGAGAACCTTATCGACATTCCCAATTTCGGTGTTGTTTTTGAAAGTACAGAGAGCGTACACTGATGTGTGGTCAACCTTTGCACGACTGTCAAATACAAAAAACAATTAATTTGGCAGGAATGAAAAGAGATTACACATTAAGGTTATTAGTATTATGAGAAAGGGACTATTGTGTAGATGTGATTTTAAGGAAAGCATTAGAATATCCACTTGAAGGTGTGTTCATGAAAAAGAAAACATATTTCCAATCTAACAATGTCTATTTGCGGCTGAGAAACAAATTCTTACCTGAGCGATTCTACTTTGCAATGTGAGAATGCTGGGCTGATGTTGCTGTTATTAAAAATATTATCAAGCTGCAGGAAATCAAACAAAAGATTAGAAGAAATCACCAAAAAGAGTAAATTCCCGATATCTCAGCCCTGTCTTAACTTGTCACTTCCCCTTAAGTCATCCTACTGTCGATGACAACATCTTCAACTTGCACTTAATAACGCCCTTCATACCGGACCTGAGAACATGAGAAATGCTACATGAAAAAAGACCAAGTTCCATCTAGTTTGCCTTCCAACTTCCTGCCGGTCACATACACATATGTCCCGAACTCCCTCTGTACTAAATCCCATAATGTTATTTCCTAAAAAAAGAAATATCTGCTGCATTTATTTATTTATAACAGACGCCTAATTTGCTACTCTGGACGGCTCATTACTGAGCCTGATCACCTGTCACTGATACAAGTTATCAGGAATTTATTGTATTACGTTTTCAATAAATCTCTACATATTTACATACTGCCATCTTACCCGATCAGCAATAACATTTGCTGCAGAATTGTACAGTTGAGATCCTGAATTTTCCAGCTCTGGTGTGAATGGCAGGTTGGTGATAATGAAGGTCACATTGAATGCTTCTTCCAGCGGTGGATTTGAAGTTACCTCCACAGTTGGTCCTTGTGCTGCAAAGATACACAGATAATGTACGAGACTGAAAATACAATGTCAATGTGTAACACTTGATATACTTTCTGCTAATGATGGGTACAAAGTTAATATATCTGATGATGAATATCAAAGGTACTTCATTGGCTTATTGTATTTAATGATGATCTATTGAGTATTTAATGCAAAATAAAATTTGTAAAGCGCCTTTCACGTCGAGAGGACGTCCCAAGGCGCTGAGCAGTCAGGGGTTAGGACCCAAGTTGGGATCACTGAGGGTGGAGGAAGAGAGGGTAGGAGGGAGGCTGGAGATGCTGCCAAAGAGGAGGGTCTTGAGGAGTTTGTTGAAGGAGGCAAGGGAAGGTGCGAAGAGAAAGGGATGTCCAGTGTATATGTTTCCAAGAGAGAGATCTGGTTTGGGTTTCCACTGATATCCATTTATCCCCATCCAGAGGGTGGGGCAGAGAAGCTGAAGGCCCGACCGCTGATGGTGAGGTGGGCCGGTGGGGCACAATGAGCGTGTCTTTGAAACTCTGGAGGCTCTCATCATGATGCTGACTATGTTATCCTGAGAAACTGAACACGAATGTCGCTTGATTTCTTAGAGGATAAACGCACATTAAGCTGCACAGCCGAGACACACAAACTGAATTGTTAAAAAACCCATCTCAGTTGATAAACTCATATTATTTGTTCTGTCGAGGCATCGAACCTGTAAGCTGATTTATTTAAGACCCCATTTCCCCAAAACTGCACAAAACAGGTCAGACTTACTCGTTAGAGGAGTTGTTTCGTGATAACCTGAGGAAACAAGAAAATGCACTGAGAATGATTGAAATCAATGAATAATCTCCTTGATATTTTCAAACACCACAATACAATTACTTTTTCCGTAACTTATTAAATTACACTCGAACACAAGGTTTCATATACACCCAACACAGTTTGATACAATAGAATATTTCTTCAGAATTCATCGTTACCATTTACGTAGAGACTGTTGGTGTCCAGTGTATATGTTCCCAGGAGAGAGATCTGGTTTGTTTCTTCACTGAACTTCTTGTAAATGAGAACCTTATCGACATTCCCAATTTCGGTGTTGTTTTTGAAAGTACAGAGAGCGTACACTGATGTGTGGTCAACCTTTGCACGACTGTCAAATACAAAAACAATTAATTTGGCAGGAATGAAAAGAGATTACACATTAAGGTTATTAGTATTATGAGAAAGGGACTATTGTGTAAATGTGATTTTAAGGAAAGCATTAGAATATCCACTTGAAGGTGTGTTCATGAAAAAGAAAACATATTTCCAATCTAACAATGTCTATTTGCGGCTGAGAAACAAATTCTTACCTGAGCGATTCTACTTTGCAATGTGAGAATGCTGGGCTGATGTTGCTGTTATTAAAAATATTATCAAGCTGCAGGAAATCAAACAAAAGATTAGAAGAAATCACCAAAAAGAGTAAATTCCCGATATCTCAGCCCTGTCTTAACTTGTCACTTCCCCTTAAGTCATCCTACTGTCGATGACAACATCTTCAACTTGCACTTAATAACGCCCTTCATACCGGACCTGAGAACATGAGAAATGCTACATGAAAAAAGACCAAGTTCCATCTAGTTTGCCTTCCAACTTCCTGCCGGTCACATACACATATGTCCCGAACTCCCTCTGTACTAAATCCCATAATGTTATTTCCTAAAAAAAAGAAATATCTGCTGCATTTATTTATTTATAACAGACGCCTAATTTGCTACTCTGGACGGCTCATTACTGAGCCTGATCACCTGTCACTGATACAAGTTATCAGGAATTTATTGTATTACGTTTTCAATAAATCTCTACATATTTACATACTGCCATCTTACCCGATCAGCAATAACATTTGCTGCAGAATTGTACAGTTGAGATCCTGAATTTTCCAGCTCTGGTGTGAATGGCAGGTTGGTGATAATGAAGGTCACATTGAATGCTTCTTCCAGCGGTGGATTTGAAGTTACCTCCACAGTTGGTCCTTGTGCTGCAAAGATACACAGATAATGTACGAGACTGAAAATACAATGTCAATGTGTAACACTTGATATACTTTCTGCTAATGATGGGTACAAAGTTAATATATCTGATGATGAATATCAAAGGTACTTCATTGGCTTATTGTATTTAATGATGATCTATTGAGTATTTAATGCAAAATAAAATTTGTGAAGCGCCTTTCACGTCGAGAGGACGTCCCAAGGCGCTGAGCAGTCAGGGGTTAGGACCCAAGTTGGGATCACTGAGGGTGGAGGAAAGAGAGGGTAGGAGGGAGGCTGGAGATGCTGCCAAAGAGGAGGGCCTTGAGGAGTTTGTTGAAGGAGGCAAGGGAAGGTGCGAAGAGAAAGGGATGTCCAGTGTATATGTTTCCAAGAGAGAGATCTGGTTTGAGTTTCCACTGATATCCATTTATCCCCATCCAGAGGGTGGGGCAGAGAAGCTGAAGGCCCGACCGCTGATGGTGAGGTGGGCCGGTGGGGCACAATGAGCGTGTCTTTGAAACTCTGGAGGCTCTCATCATGATGCTGACTATGTTATCCTGAGAAACTGAACACGAATGTCGCTTGATTTCTTAGAGGATAAACGCACATTAAGCTGCACAGCCGAGACACACAAACTGAATTGTTAAAAAACCCATCTCAGTTGATAAACTCATATTATTTGTTCTGTCGAGGCATCGAACCTGTAAGCTGATTTATTTAAGACCCCAATTCCCCAAAACTGCACACAAACAGGTCAGACTTACTGGTTAAAGGAGTTGTTTCGTGATAACCTGAGGAAGCAAGAAAATGCACTTAGAATGATTGAAATCAATGAAATAATCTCCTTGATATTTTCAAACACCACAATACAATTAGCTTTTTCCGTAACTTATTAAATTACACTCGAACACAAGGTTTCATATGCACCCAACACAGTTTGATACAATAGAATATTTCTTCAGAATTCATCGTTACCATTTACGTAGAGACTGTTGGTGTCCAGTGTATATGTTCCCAGGAGAGAGATCTGGTTTGTTTCTTCACTGAACTTCTTGTAAATGATAACCTTATCGACATTCCCAATTTCGGTGTTGTTTTTGAAAGTACAGAGAGCGTACACTGATGTGTGGTCAACCTTTGCACGACTGTCAAATACAAAAACAATTAATTTGGCAGGAATGAAAAGAGATTACACATTAAGGTTATTAGTATTATGAGAAAGTGACTATTGTGTAAATGTGATGTTAAGGAAAGCATTAGAATATCCACTTGAAGGTGTGTTCGTGAAAAAGAAAACATATTTCCAATCTAACAATGTCTATTTGCGGCTGAGAAACAAATTCTTACCTGAGCGATTCTACTTTGCAATGTGAGAATGCTGGGCTGATGTTGCTGTTATTAAAAATATTATCAAGCTGCAGGAAATCAAACAAAAGATTAGAAGAAATCACCAAAAAGAGTAAATTCCCGATATCTCAGCCCTGTCTTAACTTGTCACGTCCCCTTAAGTCATCCGACTGTCGATGACAGCATCTTCAACTTGCACTTAATAACGCCCTTCATACCGGACCTGAGAACATGAGAAATGCTACATGAAAAAAGACCAAGTTCCATGTAGTTTGCTTTCCAACTTCCTGCCGGTCACATACACATATGTCCCGAACTCCCTCTGTACTAAATCCCATCATGTTATTTCCTAAAAAAAAGAAATATCTGCTGCATTTATTTATTTATAACAGACGCCTAATTTGCTACTCTGGACGGCTCATTACTGAGCCTGATCACCTGTCACTGATACAAGTTATCAGGAATTTATTGTATTACTTTTTCAACAAATCTCTACATATTTACATACTGCCATCTTACCCGATCAGCAATAACATTTGCTGCAGAATTGTACAGTTGAGATCCTGAATTTTCCAGCTCTGGTGTGAATGGCAGGTTGGTGATAATGAAGGTCACATTGAACGCTTCTTCCAGCGGTGGATTTGGAGTTACCTCCACAGTTGGTCCTTGTGCTGCAAACACACACAGATAATGTACGAGACTGAAAATACAATGTCAATGTATAACACTTCATATACTTTATGATAATGATGGGTACAAAGTTGGTATATCTGATCATGAATATCAAAGATATTTCATTGGCTTATTGTATTCAATTGAAACTACTGATCGTCTATCGAGTATTTAACACAAAATAACATTTGTAAAGCGCCTTTTACACTGGACGTCCCAAGGCGCTGAGCAGTCAGGGGTTAGGACCGAAGTTAGGATCACTGAGGGTGGAGGGTAGAGAGGGTAGGAGGGAGGCTGGAGATGCTGCCAAAGAGGAGGGTCTTGAGGCGTTTGTTGAAGGAGGCAAGGGAAGGAGCGAAGAGAAAGGGATGACTAGTGTATATGTTTCCAAGAAAGAGATCTGGTTTGAGTTTCCACTGACATCCATTTATCCCCATCCAGAGGGTGGGGCAGAGAGGCTGAAGGCTCGACCGCCGATGGTGAGGTGGGCCGGTGGGGGACATAGAGCGTGTCTTTGAAATTCTGGAGGTCTCATCATGATGCTGATTATGTTATCCTGAGAAACTGAACACGAATGTCGCCTGATTTCTTAGAGGATAAATGCACATTAAGCTGCACAGCCGAGACACACAAACTGTTTACTGAATTCTTAAAGTTCCCATCTCAGTTGATAAACTCATATTATTGTCGTTGCATCGAGGCAATGAAACTGTAAGCTGATTTATTCAAGACCCCATTCCCCGAAACTGCACGAAAACAGGTCAGACTTACTTGTTAAAGGAGTTGTTTCGTGGTAACCTGAGGAAGCAAGAAAATGCACTTAGGATGTTTGAACTCAATGAAATCATTCTCCTTGATATTTGTAAACACCATAATTCAATTAGCTTGTTTTTACTTATTAAATTACATTCGAACAAAAGCTTTCACGTATATAATACACAGTGGATACAATAGAATATTTCCATCAGAATTCATCATTACCATTTACATAGAGACTGTTGGTGTCCAGTGTATATGTTCCCAGGAGAGAGATCTGGTTTGTTTTTTCACTGAATGTCTTGTAAACGGTAACCTTATCGACATTCCCAATCCCGGTGGTGTTTTTGAAAGTACAGAGAGCGTACACTGATGTCTGGTCATCATTTACACGACTGTCAAATAAACAATCAATTAAATCGGCATTAATGAAGAGAGATTGCACATTAACAATATGAGCATCATAGCAAACGGACCTGTCCACAATACAAAAATTGACATGGAATCTAAAAAAGTATATTTTGTGCAAAGAACAACATTGCTTACCTGAGCGATTTTAGTTTGCAACGTGAGAATGTTGGACTGATGTTGCTGTTATTAAAGATGTTGTCAAGCTGTGGGATTTAAAACAAAGCATTAGCAGAAATGATCGACTTTGGCATTTTAGACTCATTTAGAAATATTTGCGTATTAGTGCACAAGCTTACCCTATCATTAATAACACTTGCTGCAGAATGGTAGAGTGGAGACTCAGGATTTCCCAGCTCTGATGTGAATGCCAGGCTGGTGATAATGAAGGTCACATTGAACGGAAGTGCAGGTGCTCCCTGGTTTGGAATTTGTGTTACCACCACAACTGGTGCTTCCGCTGCAAAGGTACACAAATAATGTATTAGACTCAAAATACAATGAAAAAAATCTGCTCCACTAGATGCACTTCGTTTTAATGATGGTAAAAGGAAATGGATCTAATTCAGGACTGAACAAAAACACAACTTGGTGTATTGAGTTGAATTGAATCCAATGATCTTCAGATTTGCTACTCAGTTTTCAATTCAGTGCTTGATCATCAAGCCTGAGGTGGATAGCTATTTGCTAGATCAAGGTATTAAGGGATACGGGCCAAAGGCAGGTAATTGGACGTAAAAATGGTGGAAGAGGCTCGAGGGCTGAATAGCCAACTCCAGTTTCCATGTTTATGCATTTCAAACAGTTTGTGACTTTTCAAATTCTTGATGCTCTCACCATGATCTTGACTATACACTGAGAAACTGAACACAAACGTGGCCTGATTTTTTTTAGAGGATGAGCACATGAATTGTGCCGGGCTACTGAAACACACAAACTATTTACTGATTTGTTTAAGGCTCCATTCCCCAAAACTGCACACAAACAGGTCAGACTTACTGGTTAAAGGAGTTGTTTCGTGATAACCTGAGGAAACAAGAAAATGCACTGAGAATGATTGAAATCAGTGAGATAATCTCCTTGATATTTTCAAACACCACAATACAATTATCTTTTCCATAACTTATTAAATTACACTCGAACACAAGGTTTCATATACACCCAACACAGTTTGATACAATAGAATATTTCTTCAGAATTCATCGTTACCATTTACGTAGAGACTGTTGGTGTCCAGTGTATATGTTCCCAGGAGAGAGATCTGGTTTGTTTCTTCACTGAACTTCTTGTAAATGAGAACCTTATCGACATTCCCAATTTCGGTGTTGTTTTTGAAAGTACAGAGAGCGTACACTGATGTGTGGTCAACCTTTGCACGACTGTCAAATACAAAAAACAATTAATTTGGCAGGAATGAAAAGAGATCACACATTAAGGTTATTAGTATTATGAGAAAGGGACTATTGTGTAGATGTGATTTTAAGGAAAGCATTAGAATATCCACTTGAAGGTGTGTTCATGAAAAAGAAAACATATTTCCAATCTAACAATGTCTATTTGCGGCTGAGAAACAAATTCTTACCTGAGCGATTCTACTTTGCAATGTGAGAATGCTGGGCTGATGTTGCTGTTATTAAAAATATTATCAAGCTGCAGGAAATCAAACAAAAGATTAGAAGAAATCACCAAAAAGAGTAAATTCCCGATATCTCAGCCCTGTCTTAACTTGTCACTTCCCCTTAAGTCATCCGACTGTCGATGACAACATCTTCAACTTGCACTTAATAACGCCCTTCATACCGGACCTGAGAACATGAGAAATGCTACATGAAAAAAGACCAAGTTCCATCTAGTTTGCCTTCCAACTTCCTGCCGGTCACATACACATATGTCCCGAACTCCCTCTGTACTAAATCCCATAATGTTATTTCCTAAAAAAAAGAAATATCTGCTGCGTTTATTTATTTATAACAGACGCCTAATTTGCTATTCTGGACGGCTCATTACTGAGCCTGATCACCTGTCACTGATACAAGTTATCAGGAATTTATTGTATTACGTTTTCAATAAATCTCTACATATTTACATACTGCCATCTTACCCGATCAGCAATAACATTTGCTGCAGAATTGTACAGTTGAGATCCTGAATTTTCCAGCTCTGGTGTGAATGGCAGGTTGGTGATAATGAAGGTCACATTGAATGCTTCTTCCAGCGGTGGATTTGGAGTTACCTCCACAGTTGGTCCTTGTGCTGCAAAGATACACAGATAATGTACGAGACTGAAAATACAATGTCAATGTGTAACACTTGATATACTTTCTGCTAATGATGGGTACAAAGTTAATATATCTGATGATGAATATCAAAGGTACTTCATTGGCTTATTGTATTTAATGATGATCTATTGAGTATTTAATGCAAAATAAAATTTGTAAAGCGCCTTTCACGTCGAGAGGACGTCCCAAGGCGCTGAGCAGTCAGGGGTTAGGACCCAAGTTGGGATCACTGAGGGTGGAGGAAAGAGAGGGTAGGAGGGAGGCTGGAGATGCTGCCAAAGAGGAGGGTCTTGAGGCGTTTGTTGAAGGAGGCAAGGGAAGGTGCGAAGAGAAAGGGATGTCCAGTGTATATGTTTCCAAGAGAGAGATCTGGTTTGAGTTTCCACTGATATCCATTTATCCCCATCCAGAGGGTGGGGCAGAGAAGCTGAAGGCCCGACCGCTGATGGTGAGGTGGGCCGGTGGGGCACAATGAGCGTGTCTTTGAAACTCTGGAGGCTCTCATCATGATGCTGACTATGTTATCCTGAGAAACTGAACACGAATGTCGCTTGATTTCTTAGAGGATAAACGCACATTAAGCTGCACAGCCGAGACACACAAACTGAATTGTTAAAAAACCCATCTCAGTTGATAAACTCATATTATTTGTTCTGTCGAGGCATCGAACCTGTAAGCTGATTTATTTAAGACCCCATTTCCCCAAAACTGCACAAAAACAGGTCAGACTTACTCGTTAGAGGAGTTGTTTCGTGATAACCTGAGGAAACAAGAAAATGCACTGAGAATGATTGAAATCAGTGAGATAATCTCCTTGATATTTTCAAACACCACAATACAATTATCTTTTCCATAACTTATTAAATTACACTCGAACACAAGGTTTCATATACACCCAACACAGTTTGATACAATAGAATATTTCTTCAGAATTCATCGTTACCATTTACGTAGAGACTGTTGGTGTCCAGTGTATATGTTCCCAGGAGAGAGATCTGGTTTGTTTCTTCACTGAACTTCTTGTAAATGAGAACCTTATCGACATTCCCAATTTCGGTGTTGTTTTTGAAAGTACAGAGAGCGTACACTGATGTGTGGTCAACCTTTGCACGACTGTCAAATACAAAAAACAATTAATTTGGCAGGAATGAAAAGAGATTACACATTAAGGTTATTAGTATTATGAGAAAGGGACTATTGTGTAGATGTGATTTTAAGGAAAGCATTAGAATATCCACTTGAAGGTGTGTTCATGAAAAAGAAAACATATTTCCAATCTAACAATGTCTATTTGCGGCTGAGAAACAAATTCTTACCTGAGCGATTCTACTTTGCAATGTGAGAATGCTGGGCTGATGTTGCTGTTATTAAAAATATTATCAAGCTGCAGGAAATCAAACAAAAGATTAGAAGAAATCACCAAAAAGAGTAAATTCCCGATATCTCAGCCCTGTCTTAACTTGTCACTTCCCCTTAAGTCATCCGACTGTCGATGACAACATCTTCAACTTGCACTTAATAACGCCCTTCATACCGGACCTGAGAACATGAGAAATGCTACATGAAAAAAGACCAAGTTCCATCTAGTTTGCCTTCCAACTTCCTGCCGGTCACATACACATATGTCCCGAACTCCCTCTGTACTAAATCCCATAATGTTATTTCCTAAAAAAAAGAAATATCTGCTGCATTTATTTATTTATAACAGACGCCTAATTTGCTACTCTGGACGGCTCATTACTGAGCCTGATCACCTGTCACTGATACAAGTTATCAGGAATTTATTGTATTACGTTTTCAATAAATCTCTACATATTTACATACTGCCATCTTACCCGATCAGCAATAACATTTGCTGCAGAATTGTACAGTTGAGATCCTGAATTTTCCAGCTCTGGTGTGAATGGCAGGTTGGTGATAATGAAGGTCACATTGAATGCTTCTTCCAGCGGTGGATTTGAAGTTACCTCCACAGTTGGTCCTTGTGCTGCAAAGATACACAGATAATGTACGAGACTGAAAATACAATGTCAATGTGTAACACTTGATATACTTTCTGCTAATGATGGGTACAAAGTTAATATATCTGATGATGAATATCAAAGGTACTTCATTGGCTTATTGTATTTAATGATGATCTATTGAGTATTTAATGCAAAATAAAATTTGTAAAGCGCCTTTCACGTCGAGAGGACGTCCCAAGGCGCTGAGCAGTCAGGGGTTAGGACCCAAGTTGGGATCACTGAGGGTGGAGGAAAGAGAGGGTAGGAGGGAGGCTGGAGATGCTGCCAAAGAGGAGGGCCTTGAGGAGTTTGTTGAAGGAGGCAAGGGAAGGTGCGAAGAGAAAGGGATGTCCAGTGTATATGTTTCCAAGAGAGAGATCTGGTTTGAGTTTCCACTGATATCCATTTATCCCCATCCAGAGGGTGGGGCAGAGAAGCTGAAGGCCCGACCGCTGATGGTGAGGTGGGCCGGTGGGGCACAATGAGCGTGTCTTTGAAACTCTGGAGGCTCTCATCATGATGCTGACTATGTTATCCTGAGAAACTGAACACGAATGTCGCTTGATTTCTTAGAGGATAAACGCACATTAAGCTGCACAGCCGAGACACACAAACTGAATTGTTAAAAAACCCATCTCAGTTGATAAACTCATATTATTTGTTCTGTCGAGGCATCGAACCTGTAAGCTGATTTATTTAAGACCCCATTTCCCCAAAACTGCACAAAAACAGGTCAGACTTACTCGTTAGAGGAGTTGTTTCGTGATAACCTGAGGAAACAAGAAAATGCACTGAGAATGATTGAAATCAGTGAGATAATCTCCTTGATATTTTCAAACACCACAATACAATTATCTTTTCCATAACTTATTAAATTACACTCGAACACAAGGTTTCATATACACCCAACACAGTTTGATACAATAGAATATTTCTTCAGAATTCATCGTTACCATTTACGTAGAGACTGTTGGTGTCCAGTGTATATGTTCCCAGGAGAGAGATCTGGTTTGTTTCTTCACTGAACTTCTTGTAAATGAGAACCTTATCGACATTCCCAATTTCGGTGTTGTTTTTGAAAGTACAGAGAGCGTACACTGATGTGTGGTCAACCTTTGCACGACTGTCAAATACAAAAAACAATTAATTTGGCAGGAATGAAAAGAGATTACACATTAAGGTTATTAGTATTATGAGAAAGGGACTATTGTGTAGATGTGATTTTAAGGAAAGCATTAGAATATCCACTTGAAGGTGTGTTCATGAAAAAGAAAACATATTTCCAATCTAACAATGTCTATTTGCGGCTGAGAAACAAATTCTTACCTGAGCGATTCTACTTTGCAATGTGAGAATGCTGGGCTGATGTTGCTGTTATTAAAAATATTATCAAGCTGCAGGAAATCAAACAAAAGATTAGAAGAAATCACCAAAAAGAGTAAATTCCCGATATCTCAGCCCTGTCTTAACTTGTCACTTCCCCTTAAGTCATCCTACTGTCGATGACAACATCTTCAACTTGCACTTAATAACGCCCTTCATACCGGACCTGAGAACATGAGAAATGCTACATGAAAAAAGACCAAGTTCCATCTAGTTTGCCTTCCAACTTCCTGCCGGTCACATACACATATGTCCCGAACTCCCTCTGTACTAAATCCCATAATGTTATTTCCTAAAAAAAAGAAATATCTGCTGCGTTTATTTATTTATAACAGACGCCTAATTTGCTATTCTGGACGGCTCATTACTGAGCCTGATCACCTGTCACTGATACAAGTTATCAGGAATTTATTGTATTACGTTTTCAATAAATCTCTACATATTTACATACTGCCATCTTACCCGATCAGCAATAACATTTGCTGCAGAATTGTACAGTTGAGATCCTGAATTTTCCAGCTCTGGTGTGAATGGCAGGTTGGTGATAATGAAGGTCACATTGAATGCTTCTTCCAGCGGTGGATTTGAAGTTACCTCCACAGTTGGTCCTTGTGCTGCAAAGATACACAGATAATGTACGAGACTGAAAATACAATGTCAATGTGTAACACTTGATATACTTTCTGCTAATGATGGGTACAAAGTTAATATATCTGATGATGAATATCAAAGATACTTCATTGGCTTATTGTATTTAATGATGGTCTATTGAGTATTTAACACAAAATAACGTTTGTAAAGCGCTTTCACGTCGGGAGGACGTCCCAAGCCGCTGAGCAGTCAGGGGTTAGCACCCAAGTTGGGATCACTGAGGGTGGAGGGTAGAGAGGGTAGGAGGGAGGCTGGAGATGCTGCCAAAGAGGAGGGTCTTGAGGTGTGTGTTGAAGGAGGCAAGGGAAGGAGCGAGGCGAAAGGGATGTCTAGTGTATATGTTTCCAAGAGAGAGATCTGGTTTGGACTTCCACTGACATCCATTTATCCCCATCCAGAGGGTGGGGCAGAGAGGCTGAAGGCTCGACCGCTGATGGTGAGGTGGGGCGGTGGGGGACATAGAGCATATCTTTGAAATTCTGCAGGCTCTCATCATGATGCTGACTATGTTATCCTGAGAAACTGAACTCGAATGTCGTTTGATTTCTTAGAGGATAAACGCACATTAAGCTGCACAGCCGAGACACACAAACTGTTTACTGAATTGTTAAAGACCCCATCTTGGTGAACAAATACATATTATTGTCATTCCGTCGAGGCACTGAAACTGTAAGCTGATTTATTCAAGATCCCATTCCCCGAAACTGCACGAAAACAGGTCAGACTTACTGGTTAAAGGAGTTGTTTCGTGATAACCTGAGGAAGCAAGAAAATGCACTTAGAATGATTGAACTGAATAAAATAATTCTCCTTGATATTTATAAACACCATAATACAATATTAAGTTACAATTGGACACAAGGTTTCACTTACACACAACACATTCTGATACAATAGAATATTTAATCGGAATCTGTACTTACCATTTACATAGAGGCTGTTGGTGTCCAATGTATATGTTCCCAAGACAGAGATCTGGTTTGTGTTTTCACTGAACGTCCTGTAGACGATAACCTTATCAACGTTCTCAAGCTCGGTGGTGTTTTGGAAAGTACACAGAGCGTACACTGATGTCTGGTCAAAATTTGCAAGACTGTCAAATAGAAAATCAATTAGATTGGCAGTAATGGAAAGAGGTTACATATTGACAATTAATGATAGCAGCATAACAAGCAACGAACTGTTGTGTCATTGTTTTCAGTCAATATTCTCTTAAAGTTAGGCTTATGAAAAGGAAAACCTATTTGCAATGTAACAAGGTCTATTTGGTGCTAAGAAAACAATTCTTACCTGAGCGATTTTACTTTGCAATGTGAGAATGCTGGGCTGATGTCGCTGTTATTAAACATATTGTCAAGCTGCAGGAAATAAATGCAAGTTTGAGAAGATATCTTCTAACATTACACTGTAAACAGATCTATATATATTTGCAAACCGCAAGCTTACCCGATTAGCAATATCACTTGTTCTAGACTTGTAGAGATCAGATTGTGGATCTTCGAGCTCTTGTATGAATGTCAGGTTGGTGATGATGAAGGTGACATTAAATGCTTCTTTGACAGTTGGAATTGGGGTTACCTTCACAGTTGGTCCTGGTGCTGCAAAGACACACAGATAATGTGTTAGACTGAATATACAACGTCTATCCTTTACACTTGACATAAGTTAAATGTCGCCTGATCTCTCAGTGGATAAACAGATATTATTGTTGTTCGGTCGAGACCCACAAACTATTTACTGATTTGGTTAAGGCTCAGTTCCCCCAAACTGCACGCAAACAGGTCAGACTTACTGGTTAAAGGAGTTGTTTCGTGATAACCTGAGGAAGCAAGAAAATGCACTTAGAATGATTGAACTGAATAAAATAATTCTCCTTGATATTTATAAACACCATAATACAATATTAAGTTACAATTGGACACAAGGTTTCACTTACACACAACACATTCTGATACAATAGAATATTTAATCGGAATCTGTACTTACCATTTACATAGAGGCTGTTGGTGTCCAATGTATATGTTCCCAAGACAGAGATCTGGTTTGTGTTTTCACTGAACGTCCTGTAGACGATAACCTTATCAACGTTCTCAAGCTCGGTGGTGTTTTGGAAAGTACACAGAGCGTACACTGATGTCTGTTCAAAATTTGCAAGACTGTCAAATAGAAAATCAATTAGATTGGCAGTAATGGAAAGAGGTTACATATTGACAATTAATGATAGCAGCATAACAAGCAACGAACTGTTGTGTCATTGTTTTCAGTCAATATTCTCTTAAAGTTAGGCTTATGAAAAGGAAAACCTATTTGCAATGTAACAAGGTCTATTTGGTGCTAAGAAAACAATTCTTACCTGAGCGATTTTACTTTGCAATGTGAGAATGCTGGGCTGATGTCGCTGTTATTAAACATATTGTCAAGCTGCAGGAAATAAATGCAAGTTTGAGAAGATATTTTCTAACATTACACTGTAAACAGATCTATATATATTTGCAAACCGCAAGCTTACCCGATTAGCAATATCACTTGTTCTAGACTTGTAGAGATCAGATTGTGGATCTTCGAGCTCTTGTATGAATGTCAGGTTGGTGATGATGAAGGTGACATTAAATGCTTCTTCGACAGTTGGAGTTGGGGTTACCTTCACAGTTGGTCCTGGTGCTGCAAAGACACACAGATAATGTGTTAGACTGAATATACAACGTCTATCCTTTACACTTGACATACGTTAAATGTCGCCTGATCTCTCAGTGGATAAACAGATATTATTGTTGTTCGGTCGAGACCCACAAACTATTTACTGATTTGGTTAAGGCTCAGTTCCCCCAAACTGCACGCAAACAGGTCAGACTTACTGGTTAAAGGAGTTGTTTCGTGATAACCTGAGGAAGCAAGAAAATGCACTTAGAATGATTGAACTGAATAAAATAATTCTCCTTGATATTTATAAACACCATAATACAATATTAAGTTACAATTGGACACAAGGTTTCACTTACACACAACACATTCTGATACAATAGAATATTTAATCGGAATCTGTACTTACCATTTACATAGAGGCTGTTGGTGTCCAATGTATATGTTCCCAAGACAGAGATCTGGTTTGTGTTTTCACTGAACGTCCTGTAGACGATAACCTTATCAACGTTCTCAAGCTCGGTGGTGTTTTGGAAAGTACACAGAGCGTACACTGATGTCTGTTCAAAATTTGCAAGACTGTCAAATAGAAAATCAATTAGATTGGCAGTAATGGAAAGAGGTTACATATTGACAATTAATGATAGCAGCATAACAAGCAACGAACTGTTGTGTCATTGTTTTCAGTCAATATTCTCTTAAAGTTAGGCTTATGAAAAGGAAAACCTATTTGCAATGTAACAAGGTCTATTTGGTGCTAAGAAAACAATTCTTACCTGAGCGATTTTACTTTGCAATGTGAGAATGCTGGGCTGATGTCGCTGTTATTAAACATATTGTCAAGCTGCAGGAAATAAATGCAAGTTTGAGAAGATATTTTCTAACATTACACTGTAAACAGATCTATATATATTTGCAAACCGCAAGCTTACCCGATTAGCAATATCACTTGTTCTAGACTTGTAGAGATCAGATTGTGGATCTTCGAGCTCTTGTATGAATGTCAGGTTGGTGATGATGAAGGTGACATTAAATGCTTCTTCGACAGTTGGAGTTGGGGTTACCTTCACAGTTGGTCCTGGTGCTGCAAAGACACACAGATAATGTGTTAGACTGAATATACAACGTCTATCCTTTACACTTGACATACGTTAAATGTCGCCTGATCTCTCAGTGGATAAACAGATATTATTGTTGTTCGGTCGAGACCCACAAACTATTTACTGATTTGGTTAAGGCTCAGTTCCCCCAAACTGCACGCAAACAGGTCAGACTTACTGGTTAAAGGAGTTGTTTCGTGATAACCTGAGGAAGCAAGAAAATGCACTTAGAATGATTGAACTGAATAAAATAATTCTCCTTGATATTTATAAACACCATAATACAATATTAAGTTACAATTGGACACAAGGTTTCACTTACACACAACACATTCTGATACAATAGAATATTTAATCGGAATCTGTACTTACCATTTACATAGAGGCTGTTGGTGTCCAATGTATATGTTCCCAAGACAGAGATCTGGTTTGTGTTTTCACTGAACGTCCTGTAGACGATAACCTTATCAACGTTCTCAAGCTCGGTGGTGTTTTGGAAAGTACACAGAGCGTACACTGATGTCTGTTCAAAATTTGCAAGACTGTCAAATAGAAAATCAATTAGATTGGCAGTAATGGAAAGAGGTTACATATTGACAATTAATGATAGCAGCATAACAAGCAACGAACTGTTGTGTCATTGTTTTCAGTCAATATTCTCTTAAAGTTAGGCTTATGAAAAGGAAAACCTATTTGCAATGTAACAAGGTCTATTTGGTGCTAAGAAAACAATTCTTACCTGAGCGATTTTACTTTGCAATGTGAGAATGCTGGGCTGATGTCGCTGTTATTAAACATATTGTCAAGCTGCAGGAAATAAATGCAAGTTTGAGAAGATATTTTCTAACATTACACTGTAAACAGATCTATATATATTTGCAAACCGCAAGCTTACCCGATTAGCAATATCACTTGTTCTAGACTTGTAGAGATCAGATTGTGGATCTTCGAGCTCTTGTATGAATGTCAGGTTGGTGATGATGAAGGTGACATTAAATGCTTCTTTGACAGTTGGAATTGGGGTTACCTTCACAGTTGGTCCTGGTGCTGCAAAGACACACAGATAATGTGTTAGACTGAATATACAACGTCTATCCTTTACACTTGACATAAGTTAAATGTCGCCTGATCTCTCAGTGGATAAACAGATATTATTGTTGTTCGGTCGAGACCCACAAACTATTTACTGATTTGGTTAAGGCTCAGTTCCCCCAAACTGCACGCAAACAGGTCAGACTTACTGGTTAAAGGAGTTGTTTCGTGATAACCTGAGGAAGCAAGAAAATGCACTTAGAATGATTGAACTGAATAAAATAATTCTCCTTGATATTTATAAACACCATAATACAATATTAAGTTACAATTGGACACAAGGTTTCACTTACACACAACACATTCTGATACAATAGAATATTTAATCGGAATCTGTACTTACCATTTACATAGAGGCTGTTGGTGTCCAATGTATATGTTCCCAAGACAGAGATCTGGTTTGTGTTTTCACTGAACGTCCTGTAGACGATAACCTTATCAACGTTCTCAAGCTCGGTGGTGTTTTGGAAAGTACACAGAGCGTACACTGATGTCTGTTCAAAATTTGCAAGACTGTCAAATAGAAAATCAATTAGATTGGCAGTAATGGAAAGAGGTTACATATTGACAATTAATGATAGCAGCATAACAAGCAACGAACTGTTGTGTCATTGTTTTCAGTCAATATTCTCTTAAAGTTAGGCTTATGAAAAGGAAAACCTATTTGCAATGTAACAAGGTCTATTTGGTGCTAAGAAAACAATTCTTACCTGAGCGATTTTACTTTGCAATGTGAGAATGCTGGGCTGATGTCGCTGTTATTAAACATATTGTCAAGCTGCAGGAAATAAATGCAAGTTTGAGAAGATATTTTCTAACATTACACTGTAAACAGATCTATATATATTTGCAAACCGCAAGCTTACCCGATTAGCAATATCACTTGTTCTAGACTTGTAGAGATCAGATTGTGGATCTTCGAGCTCTTGTATGAATGTCAGGTTGGTGATGATGAAGGTGACATTAAATGCTTCTTCGACAGTTGGAGTTGGGGTTACCTTCACAGTTGGTCCTGGTGCTGCAAAGACACACAGATAATGTGTTAGACTGAATATACAACGTCTATCCTTTACACTTGACATACGTTAAATGTCGCCTGATCTCTCAGTGGATAAACAGATATTATTGTTGTTCGGTCGAGACCCACAAACTATTTACTGATTTGGTTAAGGCTCAGTTCCCCCAAACTGCACGCAAACAGGTCAGACTTACTGGTTAAAGGAGTTGTTTCGTGATAACCTGAGGAAGCAAGAAAATGCACTTAGAATGATTGAACTGAATAAAATAATTCTCCTTGATATTTATAAACACCATAATACAATATTAAGTTACAATTGGACACAAGGTTTCACTTACACACAACACATTCTGATACAATAGAATATTTAATCGGAATCTGTACTTACCATTTACATAGAGGCTGTTGGTGTCCAATGTATATGTTCCCAAGACAGAGATCTGGTTTGTGTTTTCACTGAACGTCCTGTAGACGATAACCTTATCAACGTTCTCAAGCTCGGTGGTGTTTTGGAAAGTACACAGAGCGTACACTGATGTCTGTTCAAAATTTGCAAGACTGTCAAATAGAAAATCAATTAGATTGGCAGTAATGGAAAGAGGTTACATATTGACAATTAATGATAGCAGCATAACAAGCAACGAACTGTTGTGTCATTGTTTTCAGTCAATATTCTCTTAAAGTTAGGCTTATGAAAAGGAAAACCTATTTGCAATGTAACAAGGTCTATTTGGTGCTAAGAAAACAATTCTTACCTGAGCGATTTTACTTTGCAATGTGAGAATGCTGGGCTGATGTCGCTGTTATTAAACATATTGTCAAGCTGCAGGAAATAAATGCAAGTTTGAGAAGATATTTTCTAACATTACACTGTAAACAGATCTATATATATTTGCAAACCGCAAGCTTACCCGATTAGCAATATCACTTGTTCTAGACTTGTAGAGATCAGATTGTGGATCTTCGAGCTCTTGTATGAATGTCAGGTTGGTGATGATGAAGGTGACATTAAATGCTTCTTCGACAGTTGGAATTGGGGTTACCTTCACAGTTGGTCCTGGTGCTGCAAAGACACACAGATAATGTGTTAGACTGAATATACAACGTCTATCCTTTACACTTGACATAAGTTAAATGTCGCCTGATCTCTCAGTGGATAAACAGATATTATTGTTGTTCGGTCGAGACCCACAAACTATTTACTGATTTGGTTAAGGCTCAGTTCCCCCAAACTGCACGCAAACAGGTCAGACTTACTGGTTAAAGGAGTTGTTTCGTGATAACCTGAGGAAGCAAGAAAATGCACTTAGAATGATTGAACTGAATAAAATAATTCTCCTTGATATTTATAAACACCATAATACAATATTAAGTTACAATTGGACACAAGGTTTCATTTACACACAACACATTCTGATACAATAGAATATTTAATCGGAATCTGTACTTACCATTTACATAGAGGCTGTTGGTGTCCAATGTATATGTTCCCAAGACAGAGATCTGGTTTGTGTTTTCACTGAACGTCCTGTAGACGATAACCTTATCAACGTTCTCAAGCTCGGTGGTGTTTTGGAAAGTACACAGAGCGTACACTGATGTCTGGTCAAAATTTGCAAGACTGTCAAATAGAAAATCAATTAGATTGGCAGTAATGGAAAGAGGTTACATATTGACAATTAATGATAGCAGCATAACAAGCAACGAACTGTTGTGTCATTGTTTTCAGTCAATATTCTCTTAAAGTTAGGCTTATGAAAAGGAAAACCTATTTGCAATGTAACAAGGTCTATTTGGTGCTAAGAAAACAATTCTTACCTGAGCGATTTTACTTTGCAATGTGAGAATGCTGGGCTGATGTCGCTGTTATTAAACATATTGTCAAGCTGCAGGAAATAAATGCAAGTTTGAGAAGATATCTTCTAACATTACACTGTAAACAGATCTATATATATTTGCAAACCGCAAGCTTACCCGATTAGCAATATCACTTGTTCTAGACTTGTAGAGATCAGATTGTGGATCTTCGAGCTCTTGTATGAATGTCAGGTTGGTGATGATGAAGGTGACATTAAATGCTTCTTCGACAGTTGGAATTGGGGTTACCTTCACAGTTGGTCCTGGTGCTGCAAAGACACACAGATAATGTGTTAGACTGAATATACAACGTCTATCCTTTACACTTGACATAAGTTAAATGTCGCCTGATCTCTCAGTGGATAAACAGATATTATTGTTGTTCGGTCGAGACCCACAAACTATTTACTGATTTGGTTAAGGCTCAGTTCCCCCAAACTGCACACAAACAGGTCAGACTTACTGGTTAAAGGAGTTGTTTCGTGATAACCTGAGGAAGCAAGAAAATGCACTTAGAATGATTGAACTCAATAAAATAATTCTCCTTGATATTTATAAACACCATAATACAATATTAAGTTACAATTGGACACAAGGTTTCACTTACACACAACACATTCTGATACAATAGAATATTTAATCGGAATCTGTACTTACCATTTACATAGAGGCTGTTGGTGTCCAATGTATATGTTCCCAAGACAGAGATCTGGTTTGTGTTTTCACTGAACGTCCTGTAGACGATAACCTTATCAACGTTCTCAAGCTCGGTGGTGTTTTGGAAAGTGCACAGAGCGTACACTGATGTCTGGTCAATATTTACAAGACTGTTCCAAAATAAAATCTGAATTAATATCTCTGATAAGAAAATTCAATCCATTCATATCCAAGCTCAAATTTCCAACGCATTTCTCTTGTTAAATATTTTGCATTGAATTTTATTAAAAATATCCCTTCAGTGTGACTTTTGGATGTTTGAATTCTTGCAGCACAAGTCTAGTGTATTCGATGGAAAGTATAAAACTTTTTTACCTGAAAGATTGTACTACGCAACCTGAGAATTTGAATCTGATGTCACTCTCATTGAACACATTGTTGAGCTGAAGGAAAGAAATTTAAAGATTCAGGATCAGTGTTATTTTGTATGTTATTTTCAAAACAGTTTTCAATAAGTCTGGTGGTATTAGCTTACCCTGTTACTAATATTCTTTGCTGTAGCTGGATCTTCTTGTGCTGATGTGAATGGCAGGTTGGTGATAATGAAGGTCACATTGAATCCTTCTCCCTGGCTTGGAGTTGGTTGTCCTATCACACAGATAATACGTTAAATCCCACTTTGCCCTGAAACTCTGGAACGCTTAAAAATCAGATTGCTGCTGTGGTTGGGGGACAAATTGGTGGGTGTTTTACAAGAATGGATCGGATGGGCCGAAGCTCTTTCTTCATCTAATCCAATCTTGTGATCATATAGTCTTGTGAAGAATATCCACATATCTTTGTGGTCAATGCATTTAGTAATAATCATCCTTGCATTTGATATAGCGCTTTTCTCGTTTTCTAGATGTGCCAAAGCAGTTCATAGGATATACTGCAAAGTGAGTTGACTCTATATATTTCTCGGCGAAACGTGGAAGCTAATTGCGCACATTAGTGTCCCCCAACAGTCATGGATTGAAGTGACTAATTTTCTTATTGTTATTTTTTTCTTGAGGAATTATTATCAGATGTGCAGAGAAAGGAAACTTGCCCAAAACTTGCCCTGCTGGGGATCGAACCCAGGTCTCTCGCTGGTGAGGCGAGTCCTCTCACCACTGAGCTACAGGACTCCATTTGCACTCCATTTCACAAGCAAAATATGCTTTGGAGTTCACCTGGCTCTCAGTGAAGCTTGAAAATAATGGTCATATTTTGCGGAACTCTTTTCTGAATTAACAGGGATTCGATTTTAAAATAATTTCAACTCACGTGTGATTATTGTTGGAGTCAAGCTGATGAGTGTGACCATTGAGGTAGTTGATTCAGAAGTTGTGGTCAGTCTTGTTGATGGAGAAGTGGTTCTGTGGGTTGTGCTGGAGTCAAGTGATGGAGTCTCTGTGTCTTGTGAAGCTGTTACACTGACTGTGAATGTAGCTTCAGAAAGAAAACAATCATATATCTCAGTGAAACTTATAATCCAGTGGCAATAAATACGGCAATTCAAATTAATAATCAGCTATGCTTCATCAAGTTTGATATTGTCGCATGAGAATTGTAGGTGACAATATAATATTATAAGCAAAGTTAGAAAAATGTTCTTAAGCCTGGGCTCTTGCCATTGTGCACCTAATACTCTCTCGTATTGTGGAATCAGGGTGCCTCTCTCCATGTAGAAGGTACACATTCCATCCCAGACTTGGGAATTTCCATGTGTTGGTTGGAACACCTGAAATTCTCTCTAATTTGGATACTCTTAAGCATGTAGGTGGAGTTCTGCATGTGCAATACACCCAGCTGACCCAAACATACTTACTAGCAAGCGATGTTACTGTCATGTGTGTTGACGTAGATGAAACTGGTGGTGTCTTTGACTGCGTCAGAGACGACCGGGTGATAGTTGGCGTTGTTGCAGCTTTACAAAGAAACACAATGATTTAGACCTAGAACATTATCTACGAGGTGTGCGTTGAAGCATTGTTGCAAGATAAAATTGCTGAGTGCATCAAAAGGTAAGAATCTAACCCAACATTATAGATGGTGTTTTGGGTGGAAAATGTGGCATCTGAGGTGATGATATCACCAGTGTCATCGGTGAAGGCAGATTCAAATTCTAGCAATTTTGCATTAGCTACGACTCCTAATAATGGATGTGGAGCATCATAAAATGTTGAATTTGACATGAAATAATTTCATAGCAGCCTTACCACCTTGCTCACGAACATAAACACAAAATAGAATAACAGAGATACTCACTGGTTGAAGGAATTCCTTCATGGTAACCTGAGATCAGAATGAAATGACAAGTTAAAGATGTAAAACAACTTATATTTGTGGATTAATTTTAATGTATTTCTTCTCAATGCTGATACCAACAGCAAATCGTAGCATTTACATTGCTGAGGGCAATTTGGCTGCTGCGTTCACCTACAAGTATAACAGTCACTCCACTTGAGAGTAAAATCATGTTAAGCTCTTTTGTCATCCTTCAGACACGCAAAGCGCTGTGCCAAATGTTAGGATCATTACAATTGAGCACTAATCTTTCTTGGAGCGCAATACAACTGAGAAAATAAGATGTTTCACATGAAAGAATGCCTACCATTCACATATAGGCTGTTGCTGTCCAATGAAAATGTTCCTAAAGTGGTTATGTTTTGGGTGTTGTCTCGGAACTCATGATATACAATAATTCTATTAACATCCGGAGCAGTGGCGACATTTTTGAAACGGCAGTCCACTTCCACAACAGTATTTCCATCATTTGCCTCACTGAAAAACACACAAAGATTTTAACAAAGTAATGGTAAATAATCCATATTTATGAAAGTAGATACAACAACAACACAACAAGATTTCATTTAAAGAGCGCCTTTCACGTTGGGAAGACGTCCCAAGGCGCTGGACAGTTGTGTCGGGACCCGAGCAGGGGGCAAATGGTCAGGGTGAGGGGAGGGAAGGGAGGGAGCGAGGAGAGGGTAGAGAGTCGAGAGGGGAGCTGAAGGCACGGTCCAAGAGAAAGATTTTGAGAACAGCCTTGAAGGAGGAAAGGGAGGAAGCGGCGAAGGCACTGGGGGATGGAGATCCAGAACCTAGGGCCTGAGAGGCTAAAGGTCCGATAGGGCGGTTAGGGCGGGGGTCGTGGGGCAGACCGGAGCCGGAGGAACGGAGGGTACGGGCAGGCAGGTAGGGGGAAAATAGGTCGGAGAGGTAGGAGGGAGCAAGGCCGCGAATGGCCTTGTAGGTGAGGATGAGGATCTTGAATTCGATCCTCTGGGGGAAGGGGAGCCAGTGGAGGCGAGCGAGGGCGAGGGCGAGGGTGGGAGTGATGTGGTCCCGAAGCCTGGTGCGGGACAGTACACGAGCTGCAGAGTTCTGAATGACCTGCAGCTTGTGGAGGGAGGTGGCGGGAAGGCCGGCGAGGAGAGAGTTCCCATAGTCCCGCCTTGAGGTGATAAAGGCGTGGACCAGTGTTTCAGCAGCGTGAGGGGTGAGGTAGTGCCGTAGTCTGGCGATATTCCGGAGGTGGTGGAAGGCGGTGCCAATTGTGGCGCGGATATGAGGGAGAAAGGACAGCTCAGGGTCGAACAGTTCCTGACTGGCTTTTAGAGGTGGAGAGTGCAGCCTTGGTTGCTGATGTTGTCAGCAATATTTTATATAAATTTCGAATGATCGATAATTAAAAGATTTTTATTCCTCTGCTTTTTTGTGATTCTCATTTAAATTTCCGAACAGAGAGAAATATAGAAACAGTCCTCCTCACACTTTTCTAAGTCAAGAACTTAACATTTTACGATACTCTATACGTGACAAGGTTGTTTTGGATGAAGAAGGCCCTTCAGCCCACTTGAGTTCAGCCAGCACTTATCATTCTCCGCTGTTCACCACATTTACCAAACTTGATTGTATAATTCCAGGCTTATTATTCGTCTATTCTGCTGCAATCAGATTGATGTCTTGAATGCTTACTGCTGTCTTCTGCAAACTAACTCAATTAATTTTAATTGTTTGAGAGCTAAATATCCTTTGCAACTCCAAGCGCTCTTATTTCTATCCTGCATCCTAATGAAAACTAATGGTAGGTTCACTATGGTACTAGGAAAGCCATGGCAATTGGTATGCCCTTCTAAATATATAATTCCAACATTGCTAAGACAACCATATTGTCAAAATCAAATGGGAAACAAGGTTTTGCAAAATTCTTTGGAGCAGAAGCATTTCCATATTACCAAAAGAAACATTCCTTTTCACGTTTTAGTAAATGCAAACTTACACACAACCCACTTATGCCGAATTATTCTTACCGGAAATATACGTTTGTGCAGCCTTGGAATTTGGAGTTAATGTTGCTGTGATTGTACAGATTGTTGAGCTGTGAAGAGACAAAGTGTTGACATTTCAGAAGGAAAGCGACATTTCACAATAATTCTTTTGAATTTTTTTGTTGTAAAAACAAACAATGCTGCACTGGGAACTTACCAAGCGAATGATGATCTCAGATCTATTGGTATAAAGGTTGGAATTTTGATTTTGTAAATCCGGGTAGAATGGTTGACTTGTTATGGTGAAGGTTACATTAAAAACCTTTGGTGGTAAGGCTTGGTTTGGATTTTCTGTCTTGACAATAATCGGTCCTTCAACTGCTAAGAAATTCATGCAAAGTATTAATCTCAGTATAAGTGCAATTACTGCAAAGTGTTAGATATTTTTTTCTGCACAAACAAGGACCAAATTTATAGCAATAAGACCCTGTGCTCAAATCTGTGGTAACCAGATTCGAGGTTGACTTCTCAGATGTAGAAAAAACTGTTGATTCACCTAATCAAAGAACAGAATAGCAGATATCTGTGATATTCAGAAACTATCATATCTCATTATTAAGCAGATGTGAGTTTGGAAAATGGCAAAGCTACCAATCACCAATGAACAAAGAACAACTTTACTGGAAATGTGATGGCTTTCTGCCTTCGAAAGTTTACCTACTATTTCAAACAAACCAACTATTTAAAAGAAAAAATAATTTCATCCTCTGTGTGCTATGACAATTATGTTGTGTTGAACTATGCAGACGTTACAGTAATTTCAACATCTGTCTTACTTGTCTCTAATGGAGTGGAGATGATTGTTGTGGCTACTGGTGTAGATGATTCAGAAGTTGAGGATGGTGTTGTTGATAGAGATTCTGTGCTCAATTTAGTGGTAACCAGAGTTGAAGTTGACTCCACAGATGTAGAAAGAGTTGTTGATTCACCTAATCAAAAAGTAGAAAAGCAGATATCTGTGACATCTGGAACCTGTCATGTTATTGGCAAACAAATGTGAGTTTGGACAGTGGTAAGGGAAGACCTCATCAATGAAGAAGACCAAAATTACAAGGAATGTGACGGCTTTGTGCTTTCGAAAGTTTTAGTACTATTTCAAATCAACAAAATAGTTGAAAGGAAAATTTAATTTCACCCTCTGTGTATTTGTGTTAAACTGTGCAGATTTTTCAGTAATTTCAATGTCTGTCTTACTTGTCTCTAATGGAGTGGAGATGACTGTTGTGGCTACAGGTGTAGATGATTCAGAAGTTGAGGATGGTGTTGTGGATAGAGATTCTGTGCTCAATTCCGCGGTAACCAGAGTCGAAGTTGACTTCTCAGATGTTGAAACAATTGTTGATTCACCTTTTCAAAGAACAGAATAGCAGATATCTGTGATATTCAGAAACTATCATATCTGATTATTAAGAAAATATGAGTTTGGAAAACGGCAAAGGTACCAATCACCAATGAACAAAGAACAATTCACTGGAAATGTGATGGCTTTCTGTCTTCGAAAGTTTACCTACTATTTCAAATTAACAAACTATTTAAAACAAAAAGTAATTTCATCCTCTGTGTGCTATGACAATTATGTCGTGTTGAACTATGCAGATGTTACAGCAATTTCAACATCTGTCTTACTTGTCTCTAATGGAGTGGAGATGATTGTTGTGGTGACTGGTGTAGATGATTCAGAAGTTGAGGATGGTGTTGTTGATAGAGATGCTGTGCTCAATTTAGTGGTAACCAGAGTCGAAGTTGACTCCTCAGACGTAGAAAGAGTTGTTGATTCACCTAATCAAAAAGTAGAAAAGCAGATATCTGTGACATCTGGAACCTGTCATGTTATTGGCAAACAAATGTGAGTTTGGACAGTGGTAAGGGAAGACCTCATCAATGAAGAAGACCAAAATTACAAGGAATGTGACGGCTTTGTGCTTTCGAAAGTTTTAGTACTATTTCAAATCAACAAAATAGTTGAAAGGAAAATTTAATTTCACCCTCTGTGTATTTGTGTTAAACTGTGCAGATTTTTCAGTAATTTCAATGTCTGTCTTACTTGTCTCTAATGGAGTGGAGATGACTGTTGTGGCTACAGGTGTAGATGATTCAGAAGTTGAGGATGGTGTTGTGGATAGAGATTCTGTGCTCAATTCCGCGGTAACCAGAGTCGAAGTTGACTTCTCAGATGTTGAAACAATTGTTGATTCACCTTTTCAAAGAACAGAATAGCAGATATCTGTGATATTCAGAAACTATCATATCTGATTATTAAGAAAATATGAGTTTGGAAAACGGCAAAGGTACCAATCACCAATGAACAAAGAACAATTCACTGGAAATGTGATGGCTTTCTGTCTTCGAAAGTTTACCTACTATTTCAAATTAACAAACTATTTAAAAGAAAAAGTAATTTCATCCTCTGTGTGCTATGACAATTATGTCGTGTTGAACTATGCAGATGTTACAGCAATTTCAACATCTGTCTTACTTGTCTCTAATGGAGTGGAGATGATTGTTGTGGCTACTGGTGTAGATGATTCAGAAGTTGAGGATGGTGTTGTTGATAAAGATGCTGTGCTCAATTTAGTGGTAACCAGAGTCGAAGTTGACTCCTCAGACGTAGAAAGAGTTGTTGATTCACCTAATCAAAAAGTAGAAAAGCAGATATCTGTGACATCTGGAACCTGTCATGTTATTGGCAAACAAATGTGAGTTTGGACAGTGGTAAGGGAAGACCTCATCAATGAAGAAGACCAAAATTACAAGGAATGTGACGGCTTTGTGCTTTCGAAAGTTTTAGTACTATTTCAAATCAACAAAATAGTTGAAAGGAAAATTTAATTTCACCCTCTGTGTATTTGTGTTAAACTGTGCAGATTTTTCAGTAATTTCAATGTCTGTCTTACTTGTCTCTAATGGAGTGGAGATGACTGTTGTGGCTACAGGTGTAGATGATTCAGAAGTTGAGGATGGTGTTGTGGATAGAGATTCTGTGCTCAATTCCGCGGTAACCAGAGTCGAAGTTGACTTCTCAGATGTTGAAACAATTGTTGATTCACCTTTTCAAAGAACAGAATAGCAGATATCTGTGATATTCAGAAACTATCATATCTGATTATTAAGAAAATATGAGTTTGGAAAACGGCAAAGGTACCAATCACCAATGAACAAAGAACAATTCACTGGAAATGTGATGGCTTTCTGTCTTCGAAAGTTTACCTACTATTTCAAATTAACAAACTATTTAAAACAAAAAGTAATTTCATCCTCTGTGTGCTATGACAATTATGTCGTGTTGAACTATGCAGATGTTACAGCAATTTCAACATCTGTCTTACTTGTCTCTAATGGAGTGGAGATGATTGTTGTGGCGACTGGTGTAGATGATTCAGAAGTTGAGGATGGTGTTGTTGATAGAGATGCTGTGCTCAATTTAGTGGTAACCAGAGTCGAAGTTGACTCCTCAGACGTAGAAAGAGTTGTTGATTCACCTAATCAAAAAGTAGAAAAGCAGATATCTGTGACATCTGGAACCTGTCATGTTATTGGCAAACAAATGTGAGTTTGGACAGTGGTAAGGGAAGACCTCATCAATGAAGAAGACCAAAATTACAAGGAATGTGATGGCTTTTTGGTTTCGAAAGTTTTTGTACTATTTCAAATCAACAAATTAGTTGAAAGGAAAATTTAATTTCACCCTCTGTGTATTTGTGTTAAACTGTGCAGATTTTTCAGTAATTTGAACGTCATCTTACTTGTCTCTAATGGAGTGGAGATGACTGTTGTGGCTACAGGTGTAGATGATTCAGAAGTTGAGGATGGTGTTGTGGATAGAGATTCTGTGCTCAATTCCGCGGTAACCAGAGTCGAAGTTGACTTCTCAGATGTTGAAACAATTGTTGATTCACCTTTTCAAAGAACAGAATAGCAGATATCTGTGATATTCAGAAACTATCATATCTGATTATTAAGAAAATATGAGTTTGGAAAACGGCAAAGGTACCAATCACCAATGAACAAAGAACAATTCACTGGAAATGTGATGGCTTTCTGTCTTCGAAAGTTTACCTACTATTTCAAATTAACAAACTATTTAAAACAAAAAGTAATTTCATCCTCTGTGTGCTATGACAATTATGTCGTGTTGAACTATGCAGATGTTACAGCAATTTCAACATCTGTCTTACTTGTCTCTAATGGAGTGGAGATGATTGTTGTGGCTACTGGTGTAGATGATTCAGAAGTTGAGGATGGTGTTGTTGATAGAGATGCTGTGCTCAATTTAGTGGTAACCAGAGTCGAAGTTGACTCCTCAGACGTAGAAAGAGTTGTTGATTCACCTAATCAAAAAGTAGAAAAGCAGATATCTGTGACATCTGGAACCTGTCATGTTATTGGCAAACAAATGTGAGTTTGGACAGTGGTAAGGGAAGACCTCATCAATGAAGAAGACCAAAATTACAAGGAATGTGATGGCTTTTTGGTTTCGAAAGTTTTTGTACTATTTCAAATCAACAAAATAGTTGAAAGGAAAATTTAATTTCACCCTCTGTGTATTTGTGTTAAACTGTGCAGATTTTTCAGTAATTTCAATGTCATCTTACTTGTCTCTAATGGAGTGTAGATGACTGTTGTGGCTACAGGTGTAGATGATTCAGAAGTTGAGGATGGTGTTGTGGATAGAGATTCTGTGCTCAATTCCGCGGTAACCAGAGTCGAAGTTGACTTCTCAGATGTTGAAACAATTGTTGATTCACCTTTTCAAAGAACAGAATAGCAGATATCTGTGATATTCAGAAACTATCATATCTGATTATTAAGAAAATATGAGTTTGGAAAACGGCAAAGGTACCAATCACCAATGAACAAAGAACAATTCACTGGAAATGTGATGGCTTTCTGTCTTCGAAAGTTTACCTACTATTTCAAATTAACAAACTATTTAAAACAAAAAGTAATTTCATCCTCTGTGTGCTATGACAATTATGTCGTGTTGAACTATGCAGATGTTACAGCAATTTCAACATCTGTCTTACTTGTCTCTAATGGAGTGGAGATGATTGTTGTGGCTACTGGTGTAGATGATTCAGAAGTTGAGGATGGTGTTGTTGATAGAGATGCTGTGCTCAATTTAGTGGTAACCAGAGTCGAAGTTGACTCCTCAGACGTAGAAAGAGTTGTTGATTCACCTAATCAAAAAGTAGAAAAGCAGATATCTGTGACATCTGGAACCTGTCATGTTATTGGCAAACAAATGTGAGTTTGGACAGTGGTAAGGGAAGACCTCATCAATGAAGAAGACCAAAATTACAAGGAATGTGAAGGCTTTGTGCTTTCGAAAGTTTTAGTACTATTTCAAATCAACAAAATAGTTGAAAGGAAAATTTAATTTCACCCTCTGTGTATTTGTGTTAAACTGTGCAGATTTTTCAGTAATTTCAATGTCTGTCTTACTTGTCTCTAATGGAGTGGAGATGACTGTTGTGGCTACAGGTGTAGATGATTCAGAAGTTGAGGATGGTGTTGTGGATAGAGATTCTGTGCTCAATTCCGCGGTAACCAGAGTCGAAGTTGACTTCTCAGATGTTGAAACAATTGTTGATTCACCTTTTCAAAGAACAGAATAGCAGATATCTGTGATATTCAGAAACTATCATATCTGATTATTAAGAAAATATGAGTTTGGAAAACGGCAAAGGTACCAATCACCAATGAACAAAGAACAATTCACTGGAAATGTGATGGCTTTCTGTCTTCGAAAGTTTACCTACTATTTCAAATTAACAAACTATTTAAAACAAAAAGTAATTTCATCCTCTGTGTGCTATGACAATTATGTCGTGTTGAACTATGCAGATGTTACAGCAATTTCAACATCTGTCTTACTTGTCTCTAATGGAGTGGAGATGATTGTTGTGGCTACTGGTGTAGATGATTCAGAAGTTGAGGATGGTGTTGTTGATAAGATGCTGTGCTCAATTTAGTGGTAACCAGAGTCGAAGTTGACTCCTCAGATGTAGAAAGAGTTGTTGATTCACCTAATCAAAAAGTAGAAAAGCAGATATCTGTGACATCTGGAACCTGTCATGTTATTGGCAAACAAATGTGAGTTTGGACAGTGGTAAGGGAAGACCTCATCAATGAAGAAGACCAAAATTACAAGGAATGTGATGGCTTTTGGTTTCGAAAGTTTTGTACTATTTCAAATCAACAAATTAGTTAAAGGAAAATTTAATTTCACCCTCTGTGTATTTGTGTTAAACTGTGCAGATTTTTCAGTAATTTGAACGTCATCTTACTTGTCTCTAATGGAGTGGAGATGACTGTTGTGGCTACAGGTGTAGATGATTCAGAAGTTGAGGATGGTGTTGTGGATAGAGATTCTGTGCTCAATTCCGCGGTAACCAGAGTCGAAGTTGACTTCTCAGATGTTGAAACAATTGTTGATTCACCTTTTCAAAGAACAGAATAGCAGATATCTGTGATATTCAGAAACTATCATATCTGATTATTAAGAAAATATGAGTTTGGAAAACGGCAAAGGTACCAATCACCAATGAACAAAGAACAATTCACTGGAAATGTGATGGCTTTCTGTCTTCGAAAGTTTACCTACTATTTCAAATTAACAAACTATTTAAAACAAAAAGTAATTTCATCCTCTGTGTGCTATGACAATTATGTCGTGTTGAACTATGCAGATGTTACAGCAATTTCAACATCTGTCTTACTTGTCTCTAATGGAGTGGAGATGATTGTTGTGGCTACTGGTGTAGATGATTCAGAAGTTGAGGATGGTGTTGTTGATAAAGATGCTGTGCTCAATTTAGTGGTAACCAGAGTCGAAGTTGACTCCTCAGATGTAGAAAGAGTTGTTGATTCACCTAATCAAAAAGTAGAAAAGCAGATATCTGTGACATCTGGAACCTGTCATGTTATTGGCAAACAAATGTGAGTTTGGACAGTGGTAAGGGAAGACCTCATCAATGAAGAAGACCAAAATTACAAGGAATGTGATGGCTTTTTGGTTTCGAAAGTTTTTGTACTATTTCAAATCAACAAATTAGTTAAAGGGAAAATTTAATTTCACCCTCTGTGTATTTGTGTTAAACTGTGCAGATTTTTCAGTAATTTGAACGTCATCTTACTTGTCTCTAATGGAGTGGAGATGACTGTTGTGGCTACAGGTGTAGATGATTCAGAAGTTGAGGATGGTGTTGTGGATAGAGATTCTGTGCTCAATTCCGCGGTAACCAGAGTCGAAGTTGACTTCTCAGATGTTGAAACAATTGTTGATTCACCTTTTCAAAGAACAGAATAGCAGATATCTGTGATATTCAGAAACTATCATATCTGATTATTAAGAAAATATGAGTTTGGAAAACGGCAAAGGTACCAATCACCAATGAACAAAGAACAATTCACTGGAAATGTGATGGCTTTCTGTCTTCGAAAGTTTACCTACTATTTCAAATTAACAAACTATTTAAAACAAAAAGTAATTTCATCCTCTGTGTGCTATGACAATTATGTCGTGTTGAACTATGCAGATGTTACAGCAATTTCAACATCTGTCTTACTTGTCTCTAATGGAGTGGAGATGATTGTTGTGGCTACTGGTGTAGATGATTCAGAAGTTGAGGATGGTGTTGTTGATAGAGATGCTGTGCTCAATTTAGTGGTAACCAGAGTCGAAGTTGACTCCTCAGACGTAGAAAGAGTTGTTGATTCACCTAATCAAAAAGTAGAAAAGCAGATATCTGTGACATCTGGAACCTGTCATGTTATTGGCAAACAAATGTGAGTTTGGACAGTGGTAAGGGAAGACCTCATCAATGAAGAAGACCAAAATTACAAGGAATGTGATGGCTTTTTGGTTTCGAAAGTTTTTGTACTATTTCAAATCAACAAATTAGTTAAAGGGAAAATTTAATTTCACCCTCTGTGTATTTGTGTTAAACTGTGCAGATTTTTCAGTAATTTGAACGTCATCTTACTTGTCTCTAATGGAGTGGAGATGACTGTTGTGGCTACAGGTGTAGATGATTCAGAAGTTGAGGATGGTGTTGTGGATAGAGATTCTGTGCTCAATTCCGCGGTAACCAGAGTCGAAGTTGACTTCTCAGATGTTGAAACAATTGTTGATTCACCTTTTCAAAGAACAGAATAGCAGATATCTGTGATATTCAGAAACTATCATATCTGATTATTAAGAAAATATGAGTTTGGAAAACGGCAAAGGTACCAATCACCAATGAACAAAGAACAATTCACTGGAAATGTGATGGCTTTCTGTCTTCGAAAGTTTACCTACTATTTCAAATTAACAAACTATTTAAAAGAAAAAGTAATTTCATCCTCTGTGTGCTATAACAATTATGTCGTGTTGAACTATGCAGATGTTACAGCAATTTCAACATCACATCTGAGAGTCAACTTCGACTCTGGTTACCACTGAATTGAGCACAGAGATTCCATCAACAACACCATCCTCAACTTCTGAATCATCTACACCAGTAGCCACAACAGTCATCTCCACTCCATTAGAGACAAGTAAGAGAAACGTTATAATCACTGAAATATTTACATGAGTTCACACAACCTAATTGCATTAATACTAAAGTGGTGATACGCATTTTCTTTTTAGCCATGTTGTTGATTTGGAAAACTTGGCAAAGTTTAACTGTTAGCAAGGAATTACATTTCGCATTAATTTTGTGATTGATTGTTGGTGAATTGCTGCATTGCCACTGTCCAAACCATCGCCTGTTTACCAATGGGCTATCATAGGTTGCAGATATCACAGATATTCCTTATTCTGTTCTTTGAAAAGGTGAAACAACTGTTGTTTCCACATCTGAGGAGTCAACTTCGACTCTGGTTACCACTGAATTGAGCACAGAGATTCCATCAACAACACCATCCTCAACTTCTGAATCATCACACCAGTAGCCACAACAGTCATCTCCACTCCATTAGAGACAAGTAAGAGAAACGTTATAATCACTGAAATATTTACATGAGTTCACACAACCTAATTGCATTAATACTAAAGGTTGGTACACATTTTCTTTAACATGTTGTTGATTTGGAAAACTTGGCAAACTTTCATTGTTAGCAAGGCATCGCACTTCCCATTAATTTTGTCCTTGATTGTTGGTGAATTGTTGCATTGCCACTGTCCAAACCATAGGCTGTTTACCAATGGACTATGATAGGGTCCAGATATCACAGATATTCATTATTCTGTTCTTTGAAAAGGTGAAACAACAGTTGTTTCCACATCTGAGGAGTCAACTTCGACTCTGGTTACCACTGAATTGAGCACAGAGATTCCATCAACAACACCATCCTCAACTTCTGAATCATCTACACCAGTAGCCACAACAGTCATCTCCACTCCATTAGAGACAAGTAAGAGAAACGTTATAATCACTGAAATATTTAAATGAGTCACACAACCTAATTGCATTATACTAAAGGGTGATACCATTTTCTTTTACCATGTTGTTGATTTGGAAAACTTGGCAAACTTTCATTGTTAGCAAGATCGCACATTCCATTAATTTTGTCATTGATTGTTGGTGAATTGTTGCATTGCCACTGTCCAAACCATAGGCTGTTTACCAATGGGCTATCATAGGTTCAGATATCACAGATATTCCTTTTTCTGTTCTTTGAAAAGGTGAAACAACTGTTGTTTCCACATCTGAGGAGTCAACTTCGACTCTGGTTACCACTGAATTGAGCACAGAGATTCCATCAACAACACCATCCTCAACTTCTGAATCATCTACACCAGTAGCCACAACAGTCATCTCCACTCCATTAGAGACAAGTAAGAGAAACGTTATAATCACTGAAATATTTACATGAGTTCACACAACCTAATTGCATTAATACTATAAGGTTGGTACACATTTTCTTTTAACCATGTTGCTGATTTGGAAAACTTGGCAAACTTGCATTGTTAGCAAGCCATCACATTTCCCATTAATTTTGTGATGGATTGTTGGTGAATTGCTGCATTACCACTGTCCAAACCATCGCCTGTTTACCAATGGGCTATCATAGGTTGCAGATATCACAGATATTCATTATTCTGTTCTTTGAAAAGGTGAAACAACTGTTGTTTCCACATCTGAGGAGTCAACTTCGACTCTGGTTACCACTGAATTGAGCACAGAGATTCCATCAACAACACCATCCTCAACTTCTGAATCATCCACACCAGTAGCCACAACAGTCATCTCCACTCCATTAGAGACAAGTAAGAGAAACGTTATAATCACTGAAATATTCACATGAGTTCACACAGCCTAATTGCATTAATACTAAAAGGTTGGTCCACATTTTCTTTTTAGCCATGTTGCTGATTTGGAAAACTTGGTAAACTTTCATTCGTAGCAAGCCATCACACTTCCCATTAATTTTGCCATTGATTATTGGTGAATTGTTGCATTGCCACTGCCGAAACCATAGGCTGTTTACCAATGGGCTATCACAGGTTCCAGATATCACAGATATAAATTATTCTGTTCTTTGAAAAGGTGAAACAACAGTTGTTTCCACATCTGAGGAGTCAACTTCGACTCTGGTTACCACTGAATTGAGCACAGAGATTCCATCAACAACACCATCCTCAACTTCTGAATCATCTACACCAGTAGCCACAACAGTCATCTCCACTCCATTAGAGACAAGTAAGAGAAACGTTATAATCACTGAAATATTTAAATGAGTCACACAACCTAATTGCATTAATACTAAAGGGGTGATACGCATTTTCTTTTAACCATGTTGTTGATTTGGAAAACTTGGCAAAGTTTCACTGTTAGCAAGGAATTACATTTCCCATTAATTTTGCCATTGATTATTGGTGAATTGTTGCTTTGCCACTGTCCAAACCATAGGCTGTTTACTAACGGACTATCATAGGTCCAGATATCACAGATATTCCTTATTCTGTTCTTTGAAAAGGTGAAACAACTGTTGTTTCCACATCTGAGGAGTCAACTTCGACTCTGGTTACCACTGAATTGAGCACAGAGATTCCATCAACAACACCATCCTCAACTTCTGAATCATCTACACCAGTAGCCACAACAGTCATCTCCACTCCATTAGAGACAAGTAAGAGAAACGTTATAATCACTGAAATATTTACATGAGTTCACACAACCTAATTGCATTAATACTAAAAGGTTGGTACACATTTTCTTTTAACCATGTTGCTGATTTGGAAAACTTGGCACACTTTCATTGTTAGCAAGGCATCAGATTTCCCATTAATT